TCTGGTAGCTGCTAGCTCATGTGGCAATGGAAACTCCAGTCTCTACAGCTCGCAAGAAACCTCATAAATCTCATGAAATTTAGGCCCAAAAAAAAAAAAAAAAACGTCCACCAAATTTGCAACCAAAATTTTCCACGGCCGGGATGCTGTTGCACCACATTCCGAGCTCCCCAACCATGCCCATGGCCCCCTGGCGTTGTCGAGTCTCTTGTGGGGAAACTGTCTACTCTTCCTGTCGGGAATTCAGTTGGATGGGCCGAAGAATATCACTCCATACAAGACACTCTACCTAGACCTTAGATTCGATTCTCCCATAGAAATTATAATTCTCGAACTAAAGTGTTTCGACTTTGACAACCCATGTTGATCCATTCTATCCCGTTTTTACGTATGCACACGTTGAGGGTCAAGGTGCTTTGAAGTCAGCGAGAGTTGGAAACACCCACCGAACCCAAAAAACTTCATGACCAGAGGCCCAAGTGTGATTCTCCCCTTGGCCCAGCACCCTTTGCAAAAAGCAATGCACCAATCAAATGAAAAACCACAGCAGCCAGGTCCAGCCAAACCTTTTCACACACCTCTTACATTGCACGGAAAAATGTTGATTTCGCAGGAAAGGAGAGGGAACGATTTATTCAGCCCTGTGAACATATTCAGGATTACAGGATGACGATACATATGATACTTCACTGTGCACATCTGACATTCAAACGTGGGGCATCTCGTCGCCTGCGATCTTGCCGAAGACACCGCGCTGCTCAAGCCCGCCACGGTGTGCTGCCCCTAAGGGACCGAAATGTCTAGTGCTGGGCTTGGGGATGGGCAAGGGATCAAAAAAATCAGTTGAGCCCATGGAAAATAATGCTAAACATGAAAAATCCGGAAAAATCACTATGAAAATGAAAATCGCTGTAAAAGTCATTGAAAATCTGACTTGAACAAATTGAATCCAATGATTGGCGTTGCTGATCAGAGATAGTCACCCAAGTTTCGATATCCAATCCCCCCCTGGGCGTCCAAAACGGCAGGTGATGGCACTGCGGCAGCCTGGCAGTTTCAGACGTAAAATGACCCCTAGATGGAAAATTACTGGGATGGTTTGTTGTTGGGTTTAACACATCACACCAATAGCACCAATAGCAACCCATACCGGATTTTCCCGAGTTTACCAATTGGGGACAGTAAACAAAACACCCAAAAATAAAGCAGGTTATCGTTGAGGTTATCGGATATCGTTGTGTTTTCGCAAAGAAAGTAATGTCGCCCATGTCAAGTTGGTATGATTCCACCTGGTTTTCACCCCAAATTAGTTGATTTTTATTGATGTTTATTGATGTCTGTCCCCCAAGTGGTCCCCAGTTTGCCCTCGGCCCATACCTTTATAGGTTGGTGGCTACAAGTTCCCATCATCAACATTCATAAACAATTAAATATACCAGGTAGTTCCCGGCACGCGCCAGGGCGGAAGTTTCGAAAATAGGACATGACTCTAGGAAACAATTTGCTTGTAGGAATTCTTGGTGAGTTGGAAAGAAATGAATGAATTGAAAATGAACGACTTGAAATGAAATGACATAAAATGAAAGAAAACACCATGAGTGGGTGGATGGATGGATGGATGAATGAATGAATGAACGAACGAACGAATGAATGAAGGAATGAACGAATGAACGAATGAACGAACGAACGAATGAACGAACGAACGAACAAACGAACGAACGAATGAATGACTGAATGACTGAATGACTGAATGACTGAATGACTGAATGACTGACTGAATGACTGAATGACTGAATGACTGACTGACTGACTGAATGAATGAATGAATGACTGAATGAATGAATGAATGAACGATCGAAGAAACGAATGAACGAATGAACGAATGAACGAATGAACGAATGAACGAAGCAACGAACAAATGAACGAAGGAACGAAGGAACGAACGAACGAATGAACGAATGAACGAACGAATGAACGAATGAACGAATGAACGAAGGAACGAATGAACGAATGAACGAATGCACGAATGAACGAATGAACGAATGAACGAAAGAACGAATGAATGACTGAATGAATGAATGAATGCATGAATGAATGAATGAGTGAGTGAGTGAGTGAGTGAATGAATGAACGAATGAACGAATGAACCTATGAACGAATGAACCTATGAACGAATGAACGAATGAACGAATGAACGAATGAACGAATGAACGAATGAACGAATGAATGACTGAATGAATGAATGAATGAGTGAGTGAGTGAATGAAAGAATGAATGAATGAATGAACGAATGAACGAATGAACGAATGAACGAATGAACCTATGAACGAATGAACGAATGAACGAATGAAGGACTGAAGGACTGAATGACTGAATGACTGAATGACTGAATGACTGAATGACTGAATGACTGAATGAATGAATGAATGAATGAATGACTGAACGAATGAACGAATGTATATGAACGAATGAACGAATGAACGAATGAACGAATGAACGAATGAACGAATGAACGAATGAACGAATGAACGAATGAACGAATGAACGAATGAACGAATGAACGAATGAACGAATGAACGAATGAACGAATGAACGAATGACGAATGAACGAATGAACGAATGAACGAATGAACGAATGAACGAATGAATGAATGAATGAATGAATGAATGGAATGACTGACTGAATGACTGAATGAATGAATGAATGAGTGAATGAATGAATGAATGAACAAACAAACAAACAAATGAACGAACGAAGGAAGGAAGGAACGAACGAACGAAGGAATGAATGGATGCATGGATGGATGAATGAATGACTGACTGAATGAATGAATGAATAAATGGCTGACTGACTGAATTACTGACTGACTGACTGACTGACTGAATGACTGAATGACTGATTGACTGATTGACTGATTGATTGACTGACTGACTGACTGACTGATTGAATGACTGACTGATTGAATGAATGAATGAATGAATGAATGCATGCATGAACGAACAAATGAACGAATGAGCGAATACATTACATGAACGAATTCGTAAAGAAATGCATGAGTAAAAGAACAAATGAACGAATAAACGCATAAACAAATGAATGAACGAACGAATGAATGAATGAATGAATGAGTGAATGAATGAATGAATGAGTGAATGAGTGAATGAGTGAATGAGTGAATGAGTGAATGAGTGAATGAGTGAATGAGTGAATGAATGAATGAATGAATGAAGGAATGAAGGAATGAACGAACGAATGAACGAACGAATGAACGAACGAATGAACGAACGAACGATCGAGCGAACGAATGTACGAATGAATGAGTAAATGGATGACACTCCTTCCGCGACCACGGCAGTCACTTTACCCAAAAAAATAACGGGGTTTCGCGCCCGAGAGTGTTTTCAAGCTTGAATTTACCCGTTCCCGATCTCTCACACTTTCCAACTACTTGCATGATGATGTGGTTGCCATGATGATTGAGGTGATGATGTGTATGTGAAACCGAGCTCTCGCTGCCGCTACAGTATCGTGCACCTTTTGCCGACCTCATCTTCCAAAAGCGCACCCGTCCCCTCAGCTTTTTACGATTTTTGGGGAAAAGTCGAGCTGTCGCCGCTAGTCTCGTGCACCTTTTGTCGACCTCATCTTCCAAAAGTGCTCCGAGACCGCCTGTTTTTTTACGATTTTTGTGAAATTGAGCTCTCGTTACAGTCTCGTGCACCTTTTGCAGACCTCGTCTTAGTGCTCCGGCCCCCTCGAAATCGAGCTCTCGCTACAATCCTGTGTACATTTTGTCGACCACTTCCCCCGATCGAGCCGCGGAACCGCGGAAACAGAGACTCTCCTTTGGCGACCACGGCAGCCACTTTACCCGAAAAAATACGGGGTTTCGCGCCCGAGAGTGTTTTCAAGCCTGAATTCACACGTTCCCGATCTCTCACCCTTCCCAACTACTAGCATGATGATGTGGTTGCCATGATGATTGAGGTGATGATGTGGTTGCCATCATGGTGACAAAGCTAGCCATGACAATCGTTCGTAATTCGGAAGTTTCCTAACTAAACTTCCTTTGATAATTATTAAACAATATAATTATATATATATAGCTATAAAGACAGTTTTAAAAAATGCAGGTAACGACAGGATGGTAAAATTGTAATCAACTTAAGCACCTGGCTGTGGATCAGGTCTCTCCCCTGAGCCTTGACCAAGACCCCAAGACCCTGCGCCTGGGGTGCGACTTCGGCACCTTTCAGCCCAGCAAGTTGAGAAGTCAAAGACTGTAAACACGGGAGCAACTTTCAATCAAGAAACTCTCTAAAAAGGAAAACAAGAAATTATGTCTATATAGTAAAAATCAACAACGATGAAGAATCTCCAAGAGTATCCATCAAATATCGCTTTTTGCAGCACAGTATTCACCAGCTCCTCAATCCGTGGGGCCTCGCCCTGGTTCTTCCAGAGCTGTTGCCTGCACCTCTGGGTCTTGGCACCAAGCCTCCGAAAAGTCTGCAGGACACAAAAGCAGATCTTAGAAGAAGGGAAGCATCTATCCACCGATATTGATTGGATTAATGGATGTTTAATTTCTACCTATCTAAGGGATATCTAAGGGATATCTAAGTGATGAGTTTGGATATAGATAGATTCAGTAAAATTGGGTTGTGGATGGTTGTGGTTTACCAGCCATCATCATCCATCTCCTTCCAAAAGGTTCTTGAGACTTACACCTGGTCGAAGCCGAAGGCTACAAAAAATCGATGATGTTCCCTGCATTTGGTCAACATTGGGGGGTTCCATAAATGGGGATACCCCAAAATAGATCGTTTATAATGGAAAATCCGATTAAAATAGGTGGTTTGGGGGTACCCCTATTTTAGGAAACCTCCATTTCACCCTCTGGTAAATTGAGATAAAGCCCCACCATCTCTAGATCATTTTCCTTGGGAAACCATTGCTTTTTTCCATATGCTAGTTTACCGAAGGGTATCCTCTTTATTCAAAGAACCCATTCGACCCAACCATTCGACCCAAACGGGACCTGTCCATCGAAGAGCATCCAGCCCTTTGGTAAAAGATCCGGACTTGGAGCCCCCATGGTGCGAGGGTGGAAGACATAACCTCCGGCTGGCTCGGGTTGGACAAATGAACACCGGGAAAGAAATTTAGGGACCAACTGATCCGATAAAAGTGTTGCTGGTTTGTTTTTGTTAGCCATCCATCGTTGTTTGGGGATCAACCAAATATATAGGCCAATTCGTTTCATCTGCAGACTTTTGTCCTCCAGCCGCCAGTGGATTGCTCTAGGATGGTAGTCGTGATGGTACTCGTGTTGTTCGCAGTCGAGGCGCTGTTTTTGCAGTTAAAATTCTCGCCGAATTCGCGCTGACCTCCAACTCCCCAGTTCTTATCCTTGGTTTCAGCAGGCGGCTTTGCCAACGTCTAGATATCCTGAAGAAAATCTGTTGCCACAAATTCCCACTGTCCATTATCCCTACCCACCATTTTGGTTGGCAAAATCCCCATAACCACTAGGGAAATCTAAGGAATGGATCAACTTGCAACCCCAGTCAACCCGCGACCCTGGAGCTCCATCGGCCCAGCAGCTGTGGTGAGGTACAGCCATCTTTCACCACCACGCATCTTCCAAACAGGTCGGTCGTTGGCAACTTTGTCCTTGACCAAATCCTCAGAAGACAAGGCAAACGTGAATGGAATCCAGGCAGGAGTGGAATCTCATTGTGAATAATTGGGCAGTCTGAACGCATAGACTCTGATAAACTGATTCGGAGATGGATTTTTTTCCACCCATTTGTGGATGGAATCCAACTTGCAAGTACTCATTGCCCAATCTAGTTCTATCTGCTTCTATCTGATAGGAGCCCATCACGACCTGGGGCTGCAACATAGGTTCCATCGCACTCCTTCTGCCAGTTAGGGCACCTGGCGACTAGGTCATTCTGTATATCCCAAGAAATAAACGGTGTACCTGGCAATTCTAGCCCTTGGTTTCAAGAAACATTCATCAGTACACATGTGTTTTCAATGTCCAGCTTTCCGAGATTGTTCTTGAAAAATAAAAACTGCATGCCATGCCAACCTTTGTTCTGGGCTCACAGTCAGCTACACACAAAACCAATGAAGCTTTACATTGCTGCACTATGGTGGAGGGTGGATGCAACATATGTTCAACAAACCTCCATCCAAAAGGCCATGGATCGGTCTTTATGGCTCCCAACTGTTCAACTGTTTTGAAGACACATATATCATATATAATATTATATATATATATACATATAATATTACAGTAAATCATATTAATTTATGGAATGTAACCTGTTGGCCAAAGATAGACAATCAAACCTAACTATCAAGTGAAGTAGCATCGGTTGAACCAAAAACCAACAATCACAAAGAAATGCTGTGCAATCGCACCAGGAATATGTAGACTATTCCGAATTTTAGGAAGAATCACTTTGGAACGACACACCTGTAGGAGAGCCAAGGTTGCCTGTGGTGCATCAACTTCTCAATTGAAAGCCCTGGAACTGCTATGACAAAGGTCTACAGTTTCGATGATTCGAAACATCAAAAAAAATTGTGTGAAACCAAGGTACCCCAAATACATTGGTCTATAACCATTGTCCCCCATTAAGAAGCCCAAGGCCTGAATCGCAGCACTGCCGGAGGCCCTTTCGGCGCCGCCTTCGCTCTGCGGCATCCCATTGGGCATGGCAACTCCTCTTAATTCCAAACAGAACATGGTGACATATAGTGAAATATGGTGAATATAGGCTATAAATGGCTATAATCTAGGGATATAGGGCTTAGCTCATTAGGGATTCCAAACATCATTTTTGTAATAACCCCTATCAGTTGTCAGGAAATGACCGGAGGGGCTAGAAATGCCCAGGTCGGAGCCGGGCACGTCTCATGAATGGCTGATTCATGTGGATTCCCAGTGGATTTTGCGAATCCCCAATTTAAAAAAAAAAACACCCGACCCCCCAAAAAAAAAAAACAGTGGGACAACCTGGAAATATGAAGAAAATATAATCTACAACATCCTGAAAAGATTTTTCGGCATCTTTTTAGAGGGGTTGCTGGGATTCTTCACAGCCAGAACCGGCCTGTCTGGCGAGTGGATCTGGTACCCCAGCCCCAGCCTGTCGTGGAGAAATCTGGGCAGCGGTGGCCACTTATATATATATATTTATTTATTTATATTGTATATATATATACATATATATATATTATATTATGTATATATATATATTATGTGTATATATATATATATATTATGTGTATATATATATATTATGTATATATATATTATGTGTGTATATATATATAATGTGTATATATATATATATTATGTATATATATATATTATGTATATATATATATGTATGTATACATGATACATATATATATATACATATGTATATATAATATTTATTTATATACAGTATTATCTGTGTATATTATATGTATGTGTGTATATTTGTTTGTGAACCACAAAAATTTGGGCGGCCATAAATGTGGTTTGCTTTTTCATTCGTGCGATTGTTGCGAATTTGGTGCCTAAATTGTGTGCCTGAAGTCACTTTGGACCCTGCCTATTTCAATCTGGGTACCAGACCCATTTACTTGGCAACCTCACCTTTGGTGCCGCAATTTCAGCTGCCACAGGCGACACTGCCTCACACATCAATGCGTGATGCCATACTCGTTTGATTTCTGCGGCAACTTTCCAAAAGAAATGTTCTGATGGAATCAACAATTTTGTTTCATCGTCATGTTCATGTTTTTTCTCCATGTTCCGTCATCTTGATCTTGAAAGACACCATCCGTAATCCCTGCTCCAATTTTTCTCTGCATCGTGGTTGCCTACACTCCAGTGTATCGAAATGCTGCAAATCAACACCCCATCCAACCACACCTTTGGTGCCGCAATTTCAGCTGCCACAGGCGACACTGCCTCACACATCAATGCGTGATGCCATACTCGTTTGATTTCAGCGGCAACTTTCCAAAAGAAATGTTCTGATGGAATCAACAATTTTGTTTCATCGTCATGTTCATGATTTTTCTCCATGTTCCGTCATCTTGATCTTGAAAGACACCATCCGTAGTCCCTGCTCCAATTTTTCTCTGCATCGTGGTTGCCTACACTCCAGTGTATCGAAATGCTGCAAATCAACACCCCATCCAACCACACCTTTGGTGCCGCAATTTCAGCTGCCACAGGCGACACTGCCTCACACATCAATGCGTGATGCCATACTCGTTTGATTTCAGCGGCAACTTTCCAAAAGAAATGTTCTGATGGAATCAACAATTTTGTTTCATCGTCATGTTCATGTTTTTTCTCCATGTTCCGTCATCTTGATCTTGAAAGACACCATCCGTAGTCCCTGCTCCAATTTTTCTCTGCATCGTGGTTGCCTACACTCCAGTGTATCGAAATGCTGCAAATCAACACCCCATCCAACCACACCTTTGGTGCCGCAATTTCAGCTGCCACAGGCGACACTGCCTCACACATCAATGCGTGATGCCATACTCGTTTGATTTCAGCGGCAACTTTCCAAAAGAAATGTTCTGATGGAATCAACAATTTTGTTTCATCGTCATGTTCATGTTTTTTCTCCATGTTCCGTCATCTTGATCTTGAAAGACACCATCCGTAGTCCCTGCTCCAATTTTTCTCTGCATCGTGGTTGCCTACACTCCAGTGTATCGAAATGCTGCAAATCAACACCCCATCCAACCACACCTTTGGTGCCGCAATTTCAGCTGCCACAGGCGACACTGCCTCACACATCAATGCGTGATGCCATACTCGTTTGATTTCAGCGGCAACTTTCCAAAAGAAATGTTCTGATGGAATCAACAATTTTGTTTCATCGTCATGTTCATGTTTTTTCTCCATGTTCCGTCATCTTGATCTTGAAAGACACCATCCGTAGTCCCTGCTCCAATTTTTCTCTGCATCGTGGTTGCCTACACTCCAGTGTATCGAAATGCTGCAAATCAACACCCCATCCAACCACACCTTTGGTGCCGCAATTTCAGCTGCCACAGGCGACACTGCCTCACACATCAATGCGTGATGCCATACTCGTTTGATTTCAGCGGCAACTTTCCAAAAGAAATGTTCTGATGGAATCAACAATTTTGTTTCATCGTCATGTTCATGTTTTTTCTCCATGTTCCGTCATCTTGATCTTGAAAGACACCATCCGTAGTCCCTGCTCCAATTTTTCTCTGCATCGTGGTTGCCTACACTCCAGTGTATCGAAATGCTGCAAATCAACACCCCATCCAACCACACCTTTGGTGCCGCAATTTCAGCTGCCACAGGCGACACTGCCTCACACATCAATGCGTGATGCCATACTCGTTTGATTTCAGCGGCAACTTTCCAAAAGAAATGTTCTGATGGAATCACTTTTTTTTTCATCGTCATGTTTTTCTCCATTTTTCGTCATCTTGCTTCTTTGATTCATTGTGAAAGTCATTTGCACGTATCTGCACTGTTTCAGGGGTTGCCCAGTGCAATGCGTCGAATCAACTGCCACACCTTAGGTGCCGCAGAAGCCACAGGAGACACAGCCTCCAGGGCAAACAGTTTCAAGGAGAGGCAACCCGTTCAGGAAACAGAAACACCTGTGAATGTCTGGTCACAGCAAAGGAATTTGATCATCTATCAGAATGTGGATGCTGGGCCAAAGTATTGCTGGTTGCAAATCTTGAAATACTGTATTACGTCCAATTTCAATACCAAGAGTATCGATTGTCACACAAAGGGTTTCCCATCCACCATCCCAAACCATGCCTTTGCTGGCACGCTTTCGGACACGGGCGCCACCGCCTACCAGATTGCATAATCCCAGTCACAGTCACAGCCAAAAACAGGACAGAATTCCTGTGTGGTGTTTGCGGGCACACTTGCAACTCTGGCCCGGGGATTGCAGGTGGGTCGTGGTCTGTTTGTCTTGTCGACACCCATTTTGCAAGGGAGCAACAAAAGGATGCTGCTCCTTAAGGGACCTGCACAGTTTTTGGTTGGCGATTTCTTGGAAGACTTCTACTTTTATTGTACATACTCCATGGCTGGATTGACCTTCATGACATGCTCAGAAAGGCAAAGAAATCAAAGGTCAGCCAGTCAAACAACTTTGAAAATTTTGGATGAAAAGGTGCTACCAAAAAAAAACACGCAGCTTACTACACGTCGATTTCGTGAACAGCGTACGACTTTGTCTACAGTAGTTGAGATTGCTTCAAATCAAAATCGGAGACCCTCCAAACATCTCCAAACCTAGATATCAATAGGTCCAGAACAAATAGTGCAAATCCCAGAAATCTGACAAGTAAAGGAGAAGCCTGTCAATTTTTTTCTGAGATTTCAGGAATCACCTTTGATTCCCCTGTGGTCATCTATTTCATGTGAGAGAGTTCATGGGGACAACCCCTCGCCACCAGGCTGGAGGAAAACAAAACAGCACTGGTTAGATGTCGTGATTTCAATAAATCATGGCAGTCAGAGAGATGAAACGATGAGGAGAAAGCATGGGAATCTATGTGGCTTTGTCTGAAAATAGGATACCTAGGGTACCCCATTTTACGTCATGTTCTCATTTGAATGGCCATTGGGAGGTATACCTGATTTTCATACACAAATCTGGTTACTGTATCTCTTGGATGAAACGGCCTGGTGGCAAGCCACATGCGCAAGGAATCTGAACACGACATAACTAAGATCCAAGTGTTTGATGGTAATCATGTTTTATATTGTTTTGTCATGTTGTACAGTATCATGTTTTATCATGGTTTATCATGTTTTATCCACAGGATTGTCCGTTTTTGTTCGCCCTGCTTGATCTTGTTTGGTTGAATACTCATGGTTCTGGCTGAATGATAGCACTTCACCAACTCGAAATCAAGTGATTCCGAAGGGTTTCCCTTATCGCTATAATATTCCCAAATAAGATGAGACCAACCTTCGTCAGCATGACACAACGCAACAGGAACCCATGGCTTCACGCCAAACACACTCCAAGTGGCTCCACAAGTTTTGACCTGACTGCTGGAGGACCCAATCCACCTTTCGCCCACTAGCCTTGTGTTCCAGGTAATCCGAAGGTGCCTTGCACGGCAATGTGAAATGACAGGTTTTGTTATCCGATCGCAACAATCTTTGCATGTGTCTATCATACTATATATATATATATACAGGTGCCATGAACCAACCTGTCGTTTCTTGATTGGTCGTTCAAGTCAACCATAGATGATACGTGTTTTTGTGATGGCGGTGATCAAGTGGCTATCAAGAAGAAGGCAATCCTGACGTGTTTTCAACTTTACGATTTCCAGACTCCATCTAAAAAACACTTTCTTGGCCATTCCCAAACAATGATTTTCTTGTGACCTGCACACTTCGCACATGTCATGGGTTTCCCAAAGTTCCCCTGGAGGTGTTCACCCATTCGCTCATGAAACCGCTCCAGTTGGCACAAACCTTTAACTCCGAGTGGACGGAGGCAATGGATGCAGGCCTGGCAGTGATTCGAATCGATTTTTTGGGTCAACTGCAGGCACCAACAGTGCCTGATGTGATCATCTAAACTCAACTTCACTGATTTTGAACTCTTTGATGAAACCGTTGAACCGTGTGGTAAAACATTGTTCATATTGGATATGCCATGAAAATATGAACAAAATACATCAGCATTGACACCAGAAAGGTGTTTTGGAGCTTGCGCCCTGCAGCGGCACCATGCCGCGGAACCCTGCAGAGGTACCCTACAGCTCCAAGCGCAAATAGCACTCTGACAGCGGCACCCAGGGGCACCAGCAACCAAGCTCCAAAACGCAGACATGCAACACTTCTATTTGAAGTAAGAAACCCAATAGCTTCGCTATCTGGGCATTCAGCCAGCAACTCTCATGGCCTGGGGGTGGCGCCAGGATATTGCCGCACGGCTCCGATGGCCTGGAAACACCAACAAGTACTGACAATGGTGCTCTCATGTTAGTTTTTGCGAATATTTTCCGAAACGTGGGGGGTCAAAAAAAAACAAAAGGTACATGAATCCAACCAATCATGGTATATTCACCCCGCTTCGCGTGGGGTGGCCGCCCACACCGCAGGTTTATTTCGGTCCGTGAGAGGGGCTAAGGGTGGTTTTCCCCCGTGGGGGCTCCCCAAGCTAAGAATTTTCACTTTCCCCCCCCGTGGGGGCTCCCCAAGCTAGGGAATTTTCACTTTTCCCCCCCGTGGGGGCTCCCCAAGCTAGGGAATTTTCACTTTTCCCCCCCGTGGGGGCTCCCCAAGCTAGGGAAACTTTTCACTTTTCCCCACTTTTCCCCACTTTTCCCCCCCGTGGGGGCTCCCAAAGCTAGGGAATTTTCACTTTTCCCCCCCGTGGGGGCTTCCCAAGCTAGGGAATTTTCACTTTTCCCCGCCGTGACAGCTTCCCAAGCTATGGAATTTTCACTTTTCCCTCCCTTGGAGGCTCTCCAAGCTGCGGAATTTCAAATAGCTAGACAACGACGCCTAGATAGTCCCCCAAATCCCGTGTTCTTTGAATGTGTTTCCATGTTTTTGCAATGGTTTCCTTCAAAGCACGGTACTTTACACTTTTGTCGCCATAAAACCGGTCGAAAACATCATGTTCGACAATGCTTCCAATTCCCTTATCTCCCCAACCGTTGAAAATACCGCTATTTACAGTGTTTTCTTCAATTTTTCCATGTGCCAATGCCGGTAGCCAACTCCAACATATATATAAGAAATCCTTCCAAAACATTGTTTTTGACAGTGTTTTTCCAATGTTTCCAGTCAAACAGACGGTAATTTACACGTTTTTTGCCATAAAGGCAGTAAATCCTTCCAAAACATTGCTTTTGACAGTGTTTTTGTAATGTTTCCAGTCAAGCATACGGTAATTTACACGTTTTTTGCTATAACGTCAGTCCAAAACACTTGTTTTTGCAGTGTTTTCAATGCTCTGGCATCCAAAAACCCTGCAAAATCTTGCTATGTACAATGTTTTTTTCATTTTTGGCCGTTTTTCCATTGCCGGAAAGCTACCAAAATGACCCAAAATTCTATTTCAATACCCTCTTGCGCTCAGACACCCAAAAATCCTCGAAAAATGTCGAAAACACCACCGTATTCTGGTCTCGGTGCGAAACCATTTTTGGGCCCCCCCCCAGCTAAAGCTGATATAGCGACTGCTATATTAACAAATGTCATTGAGCATTTAGTGTTGCTGTTTTGCCCCCCAATAAGCACGCCTTCACCGCCAAAGCGGTGTGGGCAGATTTGGGTGATTTGGGGTTGATGGAATGCCATGTTTCTGGGAAGTTGAGTCCTCCTTTTGATGCTTCTATCCCCTTTTTGGCTGGTGTTTTACCCCAGTTTTGTTGCCCTATTTCATGGGATCTAATCCGCCCACACCGCTTTGGCGGTGAAGGCGTGCTTATTGGGGGGCAACAGCAACACTAAATGCTCAATGACATTTGTTAATATAGCAGTCGCTATATCAGCTTTAGCTGGGGGGGGGGGCAAAAACGGTTTCGCACCGAGACCAGAATACGGTGGTGTTTTCGACATTTTTCGAGGATTTTTGGGTGTCTGAGCGCAAGAGGGTATTGAAATGGAATTTTGGGTCATTTTGGTAGCTTTCCGGCAATGGAAAAACGGCCAAAAATGAAAAAAAACATTGTACATAGCAAGATTTTGCAGGTTTTTGGATGCCAGAGCATTGAAAACACTGCAAAAACAAGTGTTTTGGACTGACGTTATAGCAAAAAACGTGTAAATTACCGTATGCTTGACTGGAAACATTACAAAAACACTGTCAAAAGCAATGTTTTGGAAGGATTTACTGCCTTTATGGCAAAAAACGTGTAAATTACCGTCTGTTTGACTGGAAACATTGGAAAAACACTGTCAAAAACAATGTTTTGGAAGGATTTCTTATATATATGTTGGAGTTGGCTACCGGCATTGGCACATGGAAAAATTGAAGAAAACACTGTAAATAGCGGTATTTTCAACGGTTGGGGAGATAAGGGAATTGGAAGCATTGTCGAACATGATGTTTTCGACCGGTTTTATGGCGACAAAAGTGTAAAGTACCGTGCTTTGAAGGAAACCATTGCAAAAACATGGAAACACATTCAAAGAACACGGGATTTGGGGGACTATCTAGGCGTCGTTGTCTAGCTATTTGAAATTCCGCAGCTTGGAGAGCCTCCAAGGGAGGGAAAAGTGAAAATTCCATAGCTTGGGAAGCTGTCACGGCGGGGAAAAGGTGAAAATTCCCTAGCTTGGGGAGCCCCCACGGGGGGGAAAAGTGAAAATTCCCTAGCTTGGGGAGCCCCCACGGGGGGGAAAAGTGAAAATTCCCTAGCTTGGGGAGCCCCCACGGGGGGGGAAAGTGAAAATTCTTAGCTTGGGGAGCCCCCACGGGGGAAAACCACCCTTAGCCCCTCTCACGGACGGAAATAAACCTGCGGTGTGGGCGGCCACCCCACGCGAAGCGGGGTGAATTAACCACCAAACATGTTCGAATTAAGAACCTATACCAGCCTCGGGAGATGCCACCACACCAGGTCCAACCTTAAAGAATTGGGAAATCATCCTGGCTTATTCAAGCATTCCTGCCCTTGCGCATCCCCGTGATGTGGTAAGGAAGTAACTCTGAGGTCCCTTCCTCGCATATTTGAGGAGATGGCTTGGAATCAAAGGAATGCTGCGCACATCACCCCGGTCGACCCACGAATATTTTGATTCTTTCGTGAAGGTGATATTTCGAGAGGGAAAAACCTGTTGTGGCATTGGCTTCAAAAACCCCGGCACTACCACGAAAGTGCTACGTTGAGCCCCGCACGGGACCACGCAACACTTGTTTCTTGTGCTCCTGGACCAAACACTGAGGCAAAACGGTTGCAAAAACCTATTACGTCTATTACCAGCGATTACCAATAATCCCTCATACTGGCTGGTCAACTGGGGTTTCAACTATTCAAAAACTTGTGAACCCGGTATAACTGGTAGAAAGTAGAACCTAGTATTGTTCAAGCATCAGCGGGTGTTTGCCAGTGCTCATCTGCAGAACCTCCAGTAGAGCACGCATGCTTGCTCCCTGCGCCTCACAAAAAATTAGCATGGCCATGACCGTGGTTTCAGGTATTTTTTTTGAATTTTCTTGTGAGGGAAGCTACAACAAAATGGCAAATATCCTCTTGGAACGGATCTCCAAAATTGGAGGCTCCATTTTTGGGGGGTTGAAATCAATTGGCGAGATATTCATGGACGAAAGCGACCCGTTTCACTTCTTCCATGTGGGTTTCATGTAAGTTTCTTGCGGAGACAAAAATATCTTATGTCCTCTGTACACAGAAACTTTCGGGGAATTAAACACTATAACTTCTATTTCAGGTCATGGAATCCAAAGGTGCAACAGTTGAATCCCAGAAAATGTGCGGGAAAACCCCCATGTTTCATGGCCAAACCGGGTTTCCGGTAGATGTTCCCTTGAAGCAACCCAGTGATTTATGTATGTCATATATATATATAGTATCAAAAAAAGCAGTGAAAAATTATCTCACCACCATTTTAGAATGGAATTTTACCAAAGCCTGCATCGTTCTTGTGGTTGCTACATATATATTAGGGAAAAGGGAGTCTCTTTTGTTGACAACTCCACGTGTTTCATCGTCAAATCCTGCGTTTACCAACACTATGTAGGGAGGTTCTTAGGTGGGGGGCTCCCCTCACCATAGGTTTTCATACTGTGGATGGTTGCGAAATCCTGCACCACCAAAAGGATGGTTGAAAGCCTATAAATAATGGGATAAACCATCTATCAACTGGTGCAGGATCTTTTCCATCCACAGTACTAAAATATCGTCTAATGACTGGATGATTTGGGGGTACCCGTTCCCACCCGTTGAACCTCCAAATCACTTCGAAGGCTCTGGATCAATCGCGTGTGGTCCTGCTGCCCGGCCTGTCGCGCATCCAGGAGAGACAGGATACTTTTTGGTTTTTCGACTGGGATATATTTTTATATACATATGCAGATGCAGATGCATATTACATATAGATATAGATACAGATGTGTATATACATATGTATACTTATTTCAGAAACAATATCTATCATGTGCTTGGGAAGCTCTTAGTAGCTCCTTTGCTCCCCATTGACTAGGGAATATGGATACCCTTAGCTCCTTAATTAGCTCCCTCCCAACCACTGAATAGATATGATGTTTGGTTCATCCAAAAATGGTGGAAATTACGATCACCCATGAGATTTTGGGGCATCCTGCTTTCAAACCCAAGTAGGTTAAGGGATCCCACACCAAAATATAGCATACAAGTTCGTCTGAAAATATACTACGATAAAACTTTGTGGTGGATTCTTGTTCCCTCATTTTTGAATGGCCATTCTGAGGTATGGGCCATTTCCGGACAAACCTTTCAACCACGCGCAGTGCCAGTGGAAGTGCAAGCTTGCAGCATCTCAAAGCCATGAATTTCCCAATACTTTGGGCCTCGCGTTCCAGAAGTTTTTCCTCTTGCGACTTGTAGCGTTCCTTCTGCACATCTACGTCAATGCGCATCTCAGCGTCAGATTCCACTGTTTTTTTGCGGGTCCCCTCTTGGTATCCACCTGGATTGCTGGGAAAAAAATTGGTAAAACAGGGGAACTAGGACACTTTATGTTAGTATGTCCCCTGTTATGGTTTTTATGTTTGGGGCTAACGTATTATCGTTGTTGTTGATGTTTTATGTGTTGTATGTTCTGGGGGTTTTTTGTCCCTAACTTTTCTGGGACTTTCTGTGTTTGGATGAGGGGGATAATTGTTTAGACTGTTGGGGTTTTATGTTTGGGTTGTCAGTCAGGAGTTTGAAAAGACGGGAAGACATCATTAAGATAATCAATTGTTTCTTGGTGTTTTATCCTTGTCTTTTCTTTATCACTTAAAACGTGTTGCTCTATTTGTTTGTTGTTAGTCTTGTTCAAATTGTTTTTTTATGTCGTTTGGTTCTTTCGTGTCTTGGCATCTTTTGTCTTGAAATCTCTATTTTACAGATTGGACATTCACATTTTGCTTTTTGTTTCTCAAGTTTTATTTCCCTGTATTGTGCATAATGTTCCTTTGCCTTTTGTCTCAATTCGTCTCTATGGTTTTCTCTATATCGTTGTTTATATTCAGAACATTTTTGACATAGTGCCTTTCCCTCATCAAAGTTGTCTAGAGGTTGTGTTTTACTACATCTTGAACATTTCCTACAAGTATCTTCACTCATTGGGGTACTATAGGACTATATCTTTAAATAGGTGTCTGGGTCTTAAAGATTACTTCATAATATATTTTGTTAAGATATTATGAGTTAATCATTTATGCTTTCCACTTTCCTATTCCATCCCACCAGTGTTCAATTACTCTCATTTGTGTTAAGCACGGTTTGTTTGTATCGTTTAGTTCATCCATCGCTATTGACAAAAGAGTTAGGTTGATAATCATAGCGTTGAATTCTCCATCACGGTTGAGTTCCTTTCCACAATCAATGATGACTTTTTTTATCAGTGAGGTTTTCATACATCTTTTTCATAATGTCAAATCTAACGAACGAATATATTATCATTCCATTTACTCCTTCATTATCTTTCATCCTATCAATTACTTTCTTCCAAAATTGTTCTCCTTCCTCGTCATCGGGTAAAGGCATAGGATGACACCTTACAAAGTCTCTTATCTCTTCATCTTCTTTTTCCATCGCTTGTTTATAAAATTCTTCTTCATCTTCACTTTCACTACCAAAATCCACATAAAGACCCATAGTTTCCCCTTCTAATTCCTGAATGTTTTTTGCTCTAAATACTTTACTCATTTTTCTCTTATTATATATAGTTATTTTTTCTTTAAGTAATTTTGGGGTCTCTTTCAGTTTTCGGGTTCGGGTTGGTTTTTATTTTCCCTTTCCTCCTCTTCCAGTTCCTTTATAACCATATCTATTTCACTCATTCCTTCGTTGGGGTCTTGTCCATTGGCGAGGTTTCTTAACCTCTCAAAATCCTTCACTTTGTGTCTCTCATTGGGTGGGAGGGTTTTGAGATGTTCCTTCAACTCTGTCAGGTCAAAGTATGTGTCTTGTTCTTCATCCTCATTTTCCAAAAACATGTCCATTCTTTGCTTTTCCATCTCCATAAGTTTGTTTTCCATGTATTGGAATTTCATTTGCTTCTTGTAGCACTTGCCAAAAACATTCACGAAGGTTTTGAGCAAGTAGTTCCAATTAGGTTGCTTTCTATCGTTCAGGGTTATAACATCTGTCATTATACGACATCCACAGTCAAATTTAGTCATCTTACTTATTCTTACTATATATGGGCATTTGTTCTTTAAGCATATTTTTTATTGCTGATAATTTTAAAAATCTAATATTATAATATATGGCAAGGAGACTATCAAGAGATGACATCATAAGCAATGTCTATTACAATCTTGAAACGGGCTTCGGTTCAATCAATGAGACCCTCAAGAAAGCAAAGGAACAAGACCAGACCATCAACAGGGTGGATGTGGAAAACTTTATGAGGAAACAGCCCAACAAACAGATTGGAAAATACAGGGGTTCAAACTCCTACACCGCGCCCTTCGCAAGGTTTGAATATCAGATTGACATAATGGATATGAAACCCCTTACCAAAGAACCAGAGACAAAAATTCCAATCAAGAACGACGAACCGAGATATGGGTTGGTGGTCATTGACATCTTCAGCAAGTTGGCTAACGTCGTCCCTATGAAAGAAAAATCCGGACCAATTACATTATCGGCGATGAAAGAGAGTTTCAACAAAATGGGTTTTCCGATGTCCGTTTATAGTGATAATGACCGTGCCTTCCAAACATGTATATGTGTATGTGTATGTGTATGGGTATGTATGTGTATGTGTAAGTATAAGTATAAGTATAAATATAAATATAAATATGTATTATGTACATATACATACATACAGTATCTACTCTATAGATAAAGCATAGATGCAGAAAGTACAGGATATAAATAAATAGGTATACGAGCCTGGGTCAAGAATTAGAGACCCAGCAACCCACAAAATTTGGTTCATTTTTAATAGTGGTGCCATAATATGCCATAGCTGCCCCCAGTTCTTGGGTGGCCGGACGCTGGCAAGGCCTGAGGCTTTGGTCGATTGTTTCTTGCTGATAGTGAACCTCTATGTTTACTAAGACAGATATGGAAAAATCTACCATTTGTAGATCATTTCCGAACGGCTAACCCATGGATTTCCCTAGCTACGGTAATCTTGTGGCTGGTGGGTAGTATTCCGTGTGAAATTGTCACTTCGTGTCGAGGTCACCAAGCTCTCACCTGTAGACAGCTTGGTGCCCAGACGATTGGTGAGTTGGCTTAGCTCCAGCTCCGCCTCGACGACTCAATGGGATGTAACGCAATTCAGATATAACTGGGGATCAAGATCATTCAAAGTGCCACTAAATGACATATCCATCTTACAATGCTAGATATGTTGGGTCTATCTATCTATCTATCTTTCTTTCTTTCTTATCTAATCTATCTTATCTACTCTATCTTATCTAATCTATCTTGTCTAATATATCTTATCTTATCTATCTTATCTAATCTAATCTAATCTAATCGAAACTAATCGAATCGAAACTCATCTAATCTAATCCAATCAAATCTAATCTAACCTAATCCAATCTATCTAATTTATCTAATCTAATCTCATCTAACCTAATCTAATCTAATCTAATCTATCTATCTTATATATATATATACATTTGTACAACGCAATTCCAAGAGTCCCGCAAAAATATCCTTGTCACACGATGCCCAGTGTAGCCTGCGCAGTACGTTCTTTGCTCCGTTTCAGATCTGACTCCTGATGGGTGAAAATCAAGACACCAACTCCAGAGGGTTTATGGGTTTTCAACTGTTTCAAAGCAAGAAGTAGTTGATGCCAGCTGATCCACTATCATAATTGATTCACTGCCAGTGCCAGAGCTCCACAACTATAGTGAATGAGTTTCAAACGGATTCACTATCATGGGAGCTCTGGCACTGGTAGGGAATATGAATGCCCATAGCTCCAAAGCGCTCCTGTAGGGAGATGCGGTGGTTGGCTTCCTGGCAGAGGGGCCAAATAAACTTGGCCTTCATATGTCTACACAAACAGCCTGAAAACTTGGGGTTGAGACACCAGGTCAAGTCGTGTGAGGTGACCCGTGTAAGCTTTAAGGTTACTCAAGCGGTTTAGGTCTCAAGTTCCGTCCAATAACTGAAGCATTGCCTTGAACTGATCCTCCAAGTTCAGTGCTCGCTGTCGCCCTCAGATCGCTGGGACATCTCAGATTCACTATGCTACTTTGTGCATCTGTCTGCGTGTTATGTTTACCACATCATCCACATCATGATTCGAACATGTATTCGTGATTCTAGATGCATGTATAGATTCTAGACATACTCACTGCGTGGTGTGTGTGTGTGTGTTGAATGTTTCCTATGGAACCAATGTCACCAAAATGCCTTCATCACTCAGAAGTTTCAGCCTCTCGGTCAGAGACTCCTGTGGCGGTCTTTGGTCATTGCAAGGGGACCACAATGTGTTTCCCTTCGATTAAGTGTGGCAACATTGAGAGTGACATGCTTGAATGCGGAGGCCCCTACTTTTGCAGAATACACACCACCATGTCTTGTCACCACATTGTAGATATCGAAGACCCTGCGGCCCACATAGACCACAACTAGGGAATCTATTTGCCATATGCCTGTGTACATGGCGCTTAGAAAACTTCGAAACACTTGACCAACTTCTAGTTCCATAGCAAAACGTTCGGCTCCTCCATCGAAGCCATCACCTCCGAAGCCACCTGTGGGAACAGAGGTACACGCAAAGCGGGGGAGCTGCTCATTAGACTTCACAATTTGGACCTGGAAGAATCATTAAACATCATTAAACATCAGATAGTCATTTTGGTTTATAGTTGTTTTGAATATCAAGCATAATAATCTAAATCTAAACCTATACAGGGACCCGACAAAGTCATGCCTAAGTCACTCCTTTCGCTTTCCCCGCTTGTGAACGCAACATCAAGAAGTCATGCCTAACTATTGACAATGGCATCAGCGTAAAGTTGCAATCAATACCATACAGGGTTAAGTCGAATCATGTCAACAATACACTGCCCACAGCGATGAAACAGTATTCAAATCAACAGCCAGTCAAATAAAGAAAAGAAATATCAAAATCTAAACGAAACACTGCGCGCACGCAGGTGTGATACGACTTCAGGTCACTTGGTACGACGTAAGCCTAGTGGTAGTAGTTTAGAGTTTAGAAGCAATCCAGCAGCAGTTTGACAGTAGCGAACGGCAGCAACTGAGCAACAGCCAGCAATTGACTCTTGACCAGCAGTTTAACAGTAGTTGCTAAATACACTTGAACGTACAGAAGTCACTGATAAGAAAGCAACTGCAACAAAAAAAAATCCCCCCAACTGAACGCAACAAAAACTACATATACCCTAAGCATAAGTAGATACCTAACCCAAGCTGAACGCAAGAAAAAACACAAAAACACTTAAAAACATAGTTGCACTGAGATCACCAGAGTTTGTTTGCGTCTTGCAAAAAGGCACGCTTCCAGGGAAAGTTTCGACGCAACTAAATATAGTATAGTCATTTCTTAAAAAAAGGAACGGCTTTGTCTTTTGGTTGTATCCTATCATTAAACATCATTAAACATGAACAAAGTCCTGGTGATTCCCTTCCTTTTCTGAGGTTTTTATTCCTGAGAGGTATTCTCGAACCAACCATCTGGTGAGGTGAGTTCACCGCGCTGTTGACCAAATCCTTCTGGGTTGGCCATCTGCCCTACATTTCTGTCCTGTGTTGGAATTCAACATGCCCCAATTTCATCGATTTGATTTCCGGTATACAGTGTGTTTCTAGAGATCAGGTTAAATCATGGTAAATCATGTTAAATCAGAGATTTGGTTTTATCTGAAAGTATTGTACCCAGAATCCATGTTTCACCATCATATTCCCATGAACTTGCAATTTCCAGACAATCCGGCCATCCCCTCCCTTGCTGTAGATACCCTCCAGTAGGCCAAAAAATCTGGAAAAAAAAACAGAAAATTGTAGATCACTTCCGAGCGGAAAACCACAAAAGACTATGGCTATGGATGTCCATAGTTTTTTCCACGGTTACTGTTGTTTACTAGAGGGTAATCGTATAGTTGAATCGTGCTGGTGCCCTTGTCGATGCAAAGCACCTGCCGCAGCCAGCCGACAACAACCACACCTTAGTCAACAAGGTTGGTCCTTAGTCCCGCGGAACGAAAATCCCACAGGCTTCTCACCCTTTTTGCCCATGTCGGCAAGGCGAGCTTGGTTTTGGATCTCGCGATCCGATCGAATCCATCCGAAACGATGATTCCAGTAGTTGCGATGGTTAATAAAAACCGGAGCTCCGTCAGGTACGTCACATTCAAACATCAAATGTGCGTAGGTGCCGTGCGCTTCTTGACAGAAACAACAAATTGGATCATGGGCAGAAGAAGCGACATGAAGCCAAGCATCAGACACAACACTGGCAAGGACAACAGCACGATGGCCACCTCCAAGATCACATTGTGCACACGTAGCTGTTAAATTGACCAAGTCAAACTGACGATGCAAATCAGTGGGTTCAAACCCTTCCAAGCTTCATCAACTTCGTGACGGGCATTGTGTACGCAATGCATGAAAATCTTTTCCAAGGTCAGCAGCTTTGCGACGATCCATTCTTTGCTCAGACACAAAGCCATAGTTTGTAGGGTGCTGAAAATGCCACGGTCCAGTGGCGACCCAACCTTCCAACTCCAAAAAGCGTCGGAGCAGACCCGCAATTGTTGCGGCACGGTTTCACGGTTGTGCAAGGCAATTCGGCCTTGTTGCAACATTCGTGAAGTGCGTCGAACCAGATTGGAGACGCTGCGCAAATGCACGTCCAGATGGCCACCAAGAAGGATTTGACGTAAGGGAAAAGAAGCCATACGTTGTTGGAACCCTGTGACCCGGCCAAACATTCGCAGAGACTGCTTGTTGGTCGTCAAGGTTGGCAACCGAGCCACCCAGCCATAGCTGCAAGCACTGATGACAAAGTATTGGTAGGCCCTGGGCAGAAGGTGCCAAGATTGCTGGGAACTTTGCAAGATCGCAGCTCGTTTCAAGGTTTTCTGTATACGAGCCGCCTCTGCCGCTGCATGTTGTGTTGATGGTGTTGTGCTGATGGTGTTGTGTTCATGGTGTTGTGTTGATGGGGATGTGGTGATGGTGTGTTGATGATGGTGTTGTGTTGATGGTTGAGGAGGCGGAGGAGGAGGCGGCGGGATGCAGCAAGAAAAACAAAACCCCACATGGCAATGTGGGGAACAAACCGGCTTTTGTTTGAGTCAAACGAACTTCTGGAAGGTCTCCAGTCTACATAAAAAACTACGTCAACAATTTTTTCATGCTGCGATGACCAAGAAACAAATCGGCAGCTCTAGCTCTCAGCAACGGCTGCTGCTTGGACGCCACCACTGCGTCTCCACTTTCCGCCACCAAAGCACCTTTCACGATGACTTCAATGTCCACATTCTCAACCGTGTGCACTAAAGGGCTGATGTAGTCAGAAGGCTCATCCGAAGGCTGCAAGCATCCGTTCTTTTCAGACAGAAGTTGCGAGGTGCTCTCTTTCAGCTCATGGGTCTGCATGCCGCTTTCCAATTCATGGCCTCGCTTCCACACAATCACCAAGACCGGAGACAGGGCCCCGAGCTTTGCAACTTGATGGAGGCATTGCACATCGCTCGCGTCGACCTGGGCAGGTCCACCGTGATGCGCCGAAGCCATGCCCAGAAGAACCAAGTCAGCACGGCGCAGCAGGCAATCCGACAAAGCAGACACGCCACCTGAAGTCCAACCAGAGCTCGTGTGGTCACAAAGCAAAGCGACTCTGCAGGTTCGCGGGGCAGGCGGTTGGGCGAGCAGAAAGCAATACGACTTCCTCTTGGCTGCAGCGGCAGCTGCAAATCTTCGCTGCAGAGTGGCAAAGGTTGCTTCTGGAAGAACAACTGGACCCGGCAATTCAGGCGCAGCCCTTGGAGCTTGCGCTTGAGCTTTTGGCTCTGCCGGCGCCACCCACTTTTTCTTCTTGCCTTTGATTTTGTAATCTGGCATCTTCACCGGAATCTTCACCGGAATCTTCCCCACCCCCCCCAGATGCCTCACGGCCAAAATGTGAGGGCACTCAGCAGTACTCCGGTACAAATGGCACGTACATCCCCAAGCATTGGGCTCTTGACGAAGTGGATAAACTGCTGCGAGCTCCTGAGATATGGTCTAATCAGCACAACAGCATACCCAGATGAGGGATACAAAAGGTAGCCCTCCAAGGAAACCAAAACACCAAATGCATATCATAAGTATCCCCGCTTGGAATACAGTAGCAGGACGGGGAAGGCAGGGTAGACAAGGGAGGTGGTGGATGATCGATGAGTGAAGGGGTTGTATGTGAAGAGGTTGTGTGTGAAAGATGGTGTGTGACAATTTTGCATGTGGAAAAATTGTGTGTGTGTGGAAGAAGGTGTGTGGCAAAGATGGTGTGCAACCAAGATGTGTGTGAAAGATGGTGTGTAACAAAGATGTGTGTGAAAGATGGTGTGTGACAAAGATATGTGTGGACGATGGTGTGTGACAACGTTGTGTATGAAAGATGGTGTGTGTGACAAAGATGTGTATGAAAGATGGTGTGTGACAAAGATGTGCGTGAAAGATGGTGTGCAACCGAGATGTGTCTGAAACATGGTGGAGTGTTGGTTTGGATGCATCACCCCTCCCGTGACCATCACAGTCAGGACATCCAAAGGATTGCCATGTGTCTTCAAATTCAGTGAGCGAAGCTTGGTTCCTCATTTCAGCCAGGTTTCCCGGAATTGCCTCACCATTTTTCAAGGCTTCAAGAGCTTTCTGTGGTGAACACAACTTGGGCGCCGGCACGGATTTCCAGTCACTAATCCGAGCATTTTGGCACTGGTTGTAACCCTGTCATTTGTGGTTTTTCTAGCTTCGGCTGTTGCGGAAGCTGAGGCCATTCTGCCCCCGAGGCTGGAACCACCTGCCTTTGTGGAGCTGCGTCAATCCTGTTTTGGGGCGTACCTGTTTCCCTGCCAAAGCTGAATAGAGTGAGAGTCGGTGTCCTGCTGTGTGCCGGCCGTGTTTTGCACGTTTTCTTCTTATACTCCCTTTCTTTTTAGCCCCTTGAAGGAGGGATTGAACAGAAGCCAACTCAGCAGCGTTGGACGAGTTGATAAGTTGTTGAACATCTGCATCAAAGTAGCAAGGTTCCTTTGATTTTCACGTTTCTTTTTGGTTTTGGCTGCACCTCCTGCAAGAGTGCCACAGTTTTGCCTCAACCAAGAGATGTATTCATCATTCGCCGTGCTATTCCACTCTTCCGGTTTGCACATGTTTGCACAGTCCCAGGGGTCTGTGACAATAAACCTTCCGTTTTCGTGTCCCAGAAGTTTTTGAGCCACACGACGGTATTTCAACTTGGCCTTTTTCAACCTTTGCCTTTTGCACTTTCTACACATCCAAGCGACAACCGCCCGGTGAGCCCTTTTCCTAGCCAATTTAGGGACAGGTAACTGTTTGACATAAGTCTGACTACGCTTCCGAACTGGACATAGGCAACTGCAAACCACCAAGGTGTCCAAAGTAAGGGAGTCACTGGGTCCGTGTGAGTCCTCTCATTCCTAAACCACATGTGGAAACGTCCCATGATTGAGAGGATAAGGATGACATCCTCCCAGTGTATAGTTGAATCGTGCTGGTGCCCTTGTCGATCCAAAGCACCTGCCGCAGCCAGCCGACAACAACCACACCTTAGTCAACAAGGTTGGTCCTTACTCCCGCGGAACGAAAATCCCACAGGCTTCTCACCCTTTTTGCCCATGTCGGCAAGGCGAGCTTGGTTTTGGATCTCGCGATCCGATCGAATCCATCCGAAACGATGATTCCAGTAGTTGCGATGGTTAATAGTTTACTGGAGGGTAAACCATGGCTTCGGCCCTCCTTTTTTCCCGCCTCTCGAGCTCGGCTGGCAGCCTCTGAAGCCATCTGCTGAGCCTCGTTTTCTGATCGTGGCAGAACCCAAGATGTCAGCAAAAAGGGATCAAAAATCAGAAAAGATGCGTCTTCAACAGCAAAATGGGTCTTCAACCATGAACAAAACAAGGGTCTTCTTCAACAACACAAAAACAAGGTGAAATGGAAACTTAAGCAGCAAAAATGGGAAGTTCACTGAAATGAGAAGTTACTCAAGAAATATTTTTTTTGATGAGAGAAAATCGGAAATGGACTTGTGAAAATGTCCACCAAGGATGGGATGGACTGGTGAACAGACTTTTCAGCTGCAATTCAGCATTCAACATTGTCATTCTTCCAATGTAGATACAGACATATACAGACTTGGCTGGGAAGACTGAAACATTTCACACCTACCCTGTTAAGTGGCTCCGATTCAGCAACCTGCTTCTTCAAAGCAAGTCCGGGGAGTGCTCAGCAGAATCTACACCAGCACTCAAATGATGACACCGGCAGCCCTACCAGTACTCCCTTCCCCCTTACATTCAATTGCCCCCTCAGATGGACAGAAAAGACATTGAATAGACCCAGCACTGTATACTAAGCCAGGCTTTTGATTGGAGGTGTACCCTCCAGTGAACCAACGTACATAAGTGCAATTGACCAATTGTAGATCATTTCCATCGGAAAGCCATGCATTTCCGGAGCTTGAGATGCCAGCTCGTTGAGCTGCAGCCTCCGCAGCCTGGCGTGGGCTCGGTGCAACAGAAATGGCGGGGCAAAACCTATGATCTTTCTACATTTCGGGGGGAGAAACAAATATTTATCGGCTATTTTGATGTGAAAACCAAACCATAGTTTTGACCCACCTCATATCCAAATTCAGTGAATGCGGTTGAAGGTCTCCTGGACCCGAAAGACTGAACTGAAGCGCTTCCCCACGTGGAAGGTCACGGAAAATATAAGCCGCAAGTCATCCACAAGGATGTTGGGGTACCCGATTCCATACCATGGTTCATGATCATTTTCCCTACTGAAATGCAGACAATTGAGGGTAAACCCGTCATTTCTGTACAAAACAACCATATTTCAGGTTCTATATTTACAACTCCCCATCACATATCCCGGAAATATATCTCCATTATATATCTCCATTATCTATTTCCATTTCACTTTGGTAATTGAAAATAACGATGTAAAATCACCATTTTTAAGAGGTAAATCCTCTAGACATATGCCATGGCTTCCAAAGCTACGTGAACTTACCGCGTGGCATATCCCAACTTATCAGGGATTCAAATCCCAAAAACAAAGATATGTATCCCCATTAAGTATATCTCCATTATATATTGCCATTATAAATTCCCACTGTTGTATCCCAATACGGCTTGTGAGTAGTTCATTCAGACTCTGTTCCCATTATATCCCCATAGTATATAATCCCATAGTGAACAGGGTTTGGCATTATATTCCCATTACATCCATTACTTGAACATGATTTAGAATAATTATCCCGTTCTATCCCCATTACATCCGCATTGTAGCCCCAATATCCCACTATATTCCAGAATATTTTATATCCCCAATATTTAGAGAGAGAGAGAGAGACAAAGAATCCCACAATATTATCTATATATATATTAAATATATAAACACATCCCCATAACAATACATGGTTGCTCCCAATACCCCATTTCGTGACGACGACTTACGTGTCCATCTATTTGGGGATGACTATATAGAAATGGATGTTTCCTGAAATGGATGAAGCCCCAAATGTTTGGGGTACCGCCATTGGAAACCTCCAGATGATAATCCCCATCTTTGAAGAGTTCTCCACTTCGCCTCGCAACTCTGCTGGAACATCTCCTGCAGCTCGGCCCGCGTGGTTTCTTCCCCCGCCAGGCGTCCGCTGTGGTCCTGGGAGATTTGGGGATGGCTAGGAAGGAGATCAGGTTAGATTCTTGATAGGGTTTTAAGACAGATATTGATAGTTAGGATAGATGTATGATAATGAAAGTAGAGATAGATAGGATCGCTGGGATAGGTATAATTTTTAAGTGAAAATAACTAAGAATCATGAACCTTCGGAAAACAACTATGTCTAAAAGAAAACAAGAAGGATATATGGGTATGTCTGAAAATGGGGTATACCCCCAAAAAAATAGCCATTTAGTAGGGATAATGATCAGCAAAACCATTGGGTGTAGGGCTACACTATTTTCAGACAAACACCCACAGCTCCGGTTGCGTCCTGCATGGCACGCTCCAATGTCTCAACCTGACAGACTTCACTGGTCAGGGTCTCGGACTCTGTAGATTTGGTTTAATCCAAATATGGTGAGAAAACCTTGAAATCCGGTGCAGCAAATCATGTTCCCATTTAAGTTGCTGGCAATTTTGGCTGTATACCGCCATGTCTGCATAAAGCTACCCTCAAAAAGTCATGATTGGGTTCCTACTCAAAAGAGCATACAAAAAACACGAACAGATCAAAGCAGATTCTCAGATTCGGATGAATTTGGAGTATTGCCCATTGATGAGGACATGCGCATCTGCTATTTCCTCATCCAAATAGACGATGACAGCAGGCCTTTGCTGCGATCGAAGCGCGCCAGATGCGGCCCTGATCCAATTTCACCAGGCTTTCTTGTGGGAAAGTAACCGCTATCACCCAGTACATAGACTTCACTTGGAACACCACATTTGTTCAGAAATCCATAAACCAGCGTCACACCAACTGTCACCTATATATCCTATATTGTTTTCGGCTCGCAAGCTAGACCAGGGCGGACCAGAGCGCTTGTCAATTTGAGAGACCGCCAATTTTTTTGATCCCATCTCATTGGCATAGATTTCACCACAGTGGCTACACAGATTTCATCTTGGTGGCATCCCCAATGCTGTTCAACACCCAAATACTGTGCTGTTCAGAACTGAATATTCACCAACCTGAAACGTGTGGCCACACGTTGTACTTGCCTTCACTTTCGTCATCATTTAAAGTGACATCGGCCAGTGACGTCAGCCAGTGACGTGATCAGAATCTACCCAAATACTGTACCATGTATTTATATTTATTGTTTCCGAAATCATCCCCTACTATTATTGTTCTCTATTGCATCTCCATCAACCATTGCTGTAACTTCCGCGTTATATCATATTCTATTTACATCCCACTCCTGTACCCATGATTTGTGTTGATATGCCCATCTATATACCATATGCCATACATATCACATATCTCCATTATTATCCAAGGTATACAAATTCATGTTCATATTATATATATATATTGATATGGAATGTCTGAAGATAGGGTACCCCCAAATCAAACGATTTACTGTTCTTTTTCCCGTTAAATTGCCATTGCCATATTCTTGGGCAAAGCCAATACTAGCCCAGTTGGAATTGCCCTAGTCAAACCCTTACACCCTCCAGTGATAAACACGGCTGGCTGCAAAATCCACCATTTACTTCGACGAGTTTCCCAGCTAGAAACTTCCATTTAGCTTGGGGATTCGGGATTTCCCATATATCCTATGATGTCCCCAATGAATCACATTAAATCCCATTCATAGTTCCATTAGTATCATGTTTTCACCATTAGTCATCATTAATCATCAGTATTGACCATTCACCATCATTCCCAAATATGGTATCAACTTCAACCATCATTAACGAATCATTGACCATCGTTCACCACTATGAATCATTATGTTCACCATCAATGGCACCTCCGCAGTGCTGTCCTCTGCGATGCCGATGACGCGCGCCTCCAGGCCCGCCACCTGGGAAAATGCTGAGGTTTACCCTGGAAATGTTGGACTTAAGTAGGAAAATGGCATTAATACTATCAAGGAACAGAATTTTTACCTTCTCATATATATATATATACAAGAGCGGTTTTGACTATCAAAAACTGACGAAATGTACATGCAAGATTTGGGATTTGAGTATAAATGAGGATTTGAGTATAAATGAGGATTTGGAAATAGCAAACAAAACCAAAAACATTGCAAAAATGCGCCAAATTCATGGTGGAATCTGATGATAGTTACCTTATTTTCAGACAAAGTCATCTATCCAATGGGACCATCATCCCATTGGATTGCCAACAAACTGGAGGTTTCCAATCCATGGGGGTACCCTCAGATCATCCAGTCGTCATTGGACCATGACTTGGTATAGGGTAACCTATGGTGACGACTGGGGATCCCACATGACTTAAGAAAACCCCAGTCATCACCATGACTTGGCACCTTGGACTCCAATCTCCTCATCTCCTTGCCTCAGCTGGATCCATGTTGGTTCTCCCGGAAGCGGAGTGGACTCATTTACGAAGCTGGAAAACCCGATGAGAATCCAACATGGCAAGCGGACATGACCCATTTGGCAAGTGATTGGCCGAAAATGGTGGTTCTTCAGCCCACAAGATTAGAGTGGGCAGAGGATATATCAACTATTTCCACCTAAATCATCAGCACTGCCACAAAACGCCTGGTGAAATATGTTCGATCCGCTCATATAAAACCAAGAACAGGATGGTTAGTACTGGAGTTCTGTTCGAATGAGGTTATATACTGACGTCTTGGAAGCGGATCTCGTTGTAATCCTTTCATAGTTATCGATGAGGGCACCGCACTATCGCTCACAGTTTGTGCGGCCATACCTCTTGACCGGCCAACTTCGATCAGAGTTTTTGGTTCCTTGTTGGTTGTAAATATATGTCGTATCCAACAATCCAATGGTGGAAATATCATATTTGATTGTTCGCGGTTATCCACTTGGATCATCATTCCAACTTTCATGTTCACCCTATTTGGAATGACAATTCCAAGTACACTCCTGAGTTCCAACGTGGAAATGCATGCTATTCCTGGGGCACCTAACATGAACCCATTGTACGGCCTCAAGTGGATTTTGTTCCCCAGGAAATCACGCAACTATTTTTTTTATTCCCCAAATAGTGTGGCCACACTGAGGGGTTCTTACGGTAACAGTTAAGGCCCAGTTTTCAATCGAGGTGGTACAGTATCCGGTGCGTTTGGCATTTTCCCTGTAAATTTCCGCCCAAAATGCCTCTTGTGACATGCCCATATGCATTTCGACTGCGCAGGCTCGCACAAAATGCTGGCCGCGGAGGTGTCCTCGGCCATTTTCCCTTTAAATTTCCACACAAAATGGTTCTTGTAACATGTCCATGCATTTTCGACTGCGCAGACTCGCACAAAACGGGCGTCTCGGGATTATGGCACTGTAAATTTCCACACAAAATGGCTCTTGTGAAATGTTCATGTGTATTTCGACTGCGCAGGCTCACACACCATCATCATCATCGTCATCATCATCATCCTCATCATCATCATCACCACCATCAACATCAACATCATCATCACCGTCATCGTCATCAACATCATCACGTCACTACCACCATCATCATCACCATCAGCAACATCATCATCCTCATCATCATCTTCACGGCCACCACCACCACCACCACCACCACCATCATCATCATCATCATCATCATCATCGCCATCATCATCGCCATCATCATCGCCATCGTCGTCATCATCATCACCACCATGAGCATCACCATCATCATCATCATCATCATCATCATCATCATCGTCATCATCGTCAACATCACCATGCTTATCAACATGATCATCAACATCATGATCAACATTAACATCATCATCAACATGATAATACATTCTCCTTTTACTCCCCCCACACTGTTTGGGGTCTCTTGCCGGGATAAGAAAATCACTCCAAAACTGACATGGAACCCAACGCAGGCCCGAAGTGAACCCAAACTGCACCCTCAAAGAGCCAACATGGAATTTGTAAACTCTCGTATTCTTGACATGGGTTGAAACCAGTAGTGCATGTGCGGAAGCTCAATTCATGTTGAATTCTGTATTTCAGCCAACTATATTATATAGCCAATAGTAATCCCAGTGACTTGGATAATAGTAATCCATGCAAATCCCAACTAACCAATGGTAATCTCAATCAACTAACCAATAGTAGTTGACTACTGTGACTTGAATAATCCCAACGTCCGAATCCAAGTGGATCTCCCATGTCCACGCTGTGCCGGCTGACGTACTTCACCAATGGCTGCTGGGCCGGACACGGCCTGTCAACGATCCAGCAGAAAATGATGCTTACCCTCTTGTTACTCAACAATTTTCTATGGAAAATCACAATGGCCATGTTCAATAGCTATGTTTCAATTACCGGACAGTAATTCATGCCTTTTACCAAAGAACATCAGGTTGTTTAAACCCAATTGATAATTTCAATCGGGAAACTTTCCACATTTCTGGGGATTGATCGCTAGATAGAGATGGTTGCCATATATTCGGCCTATCCCATGACATATCCCAGTTGCAAAGGGGTTGAACAAACTCAACAACCACTGAATGATCGCTGGTAGACCGGACGTTCCTTGGTTCATCCCCTTTGAGGGCAAGCTTGATCCGACTGCTTCAGAATGTGGTAGAAGAATGTAAAGATATGTAAGTTCGATTGATGCTGAAAATGGGTTTCTTGGGTCACCTCAATTAAGATAAAAGAGCAGGTAAAACTAGACGATGGATGGCCCGAGAGCGTAGAGCAGCAAGGTCTTCTGTTGTTAGTATCAAAACAATATATTAAAGCTGTATTATAGGCAGACGAGAAGAATAGTATCAAGACCAGATACTACAAGACAATAGTTTGCATCGTATCCTTCGTATAGTTTTTACACACAGAACCTGTTACACACAGATTCTTCTACACAGGGAAGCCTTTGCACAGAGCAGCTTTTACACACAGACGCTTTTACACACAGAGCAGCTTTTACACACAGAAGCTTTTACACAGAGAAGCCTTTACACAGAGACGCTTTTACATACAGGAGCTTTTACACACAGAAGCTTTTACACACAGAAGCTCTTACATACAGAAGCTTTTACACACAGACCCTTTTACACACAAAAGCTTTTACACACAAAATATTTTACACACAGACGCTTTTACACACAGACTCTTTTACACACAGACAGACGCTTTTACACAAAGACAGACGCTTTTACACAAAGATAGACGCTTCTACACACAGACACTTTTACACACAGAAGCTTTTGCACACAGACGCGTTTACACACAGACGCTTTTACAATCTTTTACACACAGACGCTTTTATACACAGAAGCTTTTGCACACAGAACCCAAACTTGCAAAAAATCTTTATTTTTTGACACTCGAACCTCATGTCGTGCGAAAGTGTGGCCTTCAGAGAGAAAAGAGAAAAAAGGAGAGAGACTGTGACAGAGGGCAAGGGGAGAGAGAGAGAGAGGGGAGAGAGGGGAGAGAGAGAGGAGGAGGGGAGAGAGGGGAGAGAGGGGAGAGAGGGGAGAGAGGGGAGAGAGAGGAGAGAGAGGAGAGAGAGAGAGAGAAGATGAGAAGATGTGAAGATGTGAAGGTGATGTGAAGGTGATGTGAAGGTGATGTGAAGGTGATGTGAAGGTGATGTGAAGGTGATGTGAAGGTGATGTGAAGAAGATGTGAAGAAGATGTGAAGAAGATGTGAAGAAGATGTGAAGAAGGTGCGAAGAAGATGTGAAGAAGATGTGAAGATGATGTGAAGATGATGCGAAGATGATGCGAAGATGGATGGTGTGAAGATGATGTGAAGATGATGTGAAGAAGATGTGAAGATGATGTGAAGATGATGTGAAGAAGATGTGGAGAAGATGTGAAGAAGATGTGAAGAAGATGTGAAGAAGATGTGAAGAAGATGTGAAGAAAATGTGAAGAAGATGTGAAGAAGATGTGAAGAAGATGTGAAGAAGATGCGAAGAAGATGTGAAGATTTGAAGAAGATGTGAAGAAGATGTGAGGAAGATGTGAGGAAGATGTGAGGAAGATGTGAGGAAGATGTGAGGAAGATGTGAGGAAGATGTGAGGAAGATGTGAGGAAGATGTGAGGAAGATGCGAGGAAGATGTGAGGAAGATGTGAGGAAGATGTGAGGAAAACGTGAGGAAGATGTGAGGAAGATGTGAGGAAGACGTGGGGAAGACGTGGGGAAGATGTGAGTGCGGAAGATGTGAGGAAGATGTGAGGAAGATGTGAAGAAGATGTGAGGAAGATGTGAGGAAGATGTGAGGAAGATGTGAGGAAGATGTGAGGAAGATGTGAGGAAGATGTGAGGAAGATGTGAGGAAGATGTGAGGAAGATGTGAGGAAGATGTGAGGAAGATGTGAGGAAGATGTGAGGAAGATGTGAGGAAGATGTGAGGAAGATGTTGTTAAGGAAGACGGGGGGAAGAGTGGGGAAGGACGGTGAGGAAGATGTGAGGAAGATGTGAGGAAGAGGTGAAGAAGATGTGAGCGAAGATCGGTGTGAGGAAGCAGATGGTGAGGAAGATTGTGAGGAAGATGTTGGGAAGAAGATGTGAGGAAGATGTGAGGAAGACGTGGGGAAGACGTGGGGAAGATGTGAGTGCGGAAGATGTGAGGAAGATGTGAGGAAGATGTGAAGAAGATGTGAGGAAGATGTGAGGAAGATGTGAGGAAGATGTGAGGAAGATGTGAGGAAGATGTGAGGAAGATGTGAGGAAGATGTGAGGAAGATGTGAGGAAGATGTGAGGAAGATGTGAGGAAGATGTGAGGAAGATGTGAGGAAGATGTGGGGAATTAAGATGTGAGGAAGATGTGAGGAAGATGTGAGGAAGATGTGAGGAAGATGTGAGGAAGATGTGAGGAAGATGTGAGGAAGATGTGAGGAAGATGTGAGGAAAATGTGAGGAAGATGTGAGGAAGATGTGGGGAAGATGTGGGGAAGATGTGAGGAAGATGTGAGGAAGATGTGAGGAAGATGTGAGGAAGATGTGAGGAAGATGTGAGGAAGATGTGAGGAAGATGTGATGAAGATGTGAGGAAGATGTGAGAAGATGTGAGGAAGATGTGAGGAAGATGTGAGGAAGATGTGAGGAAGATGTGAGGAAGATGTGAGGAAAATGTGAGGAAGATGTGAGGAAGATGTGAGGAAGATGTGAGGAAGATGTGAGGAAGATGTGAGGAAGATGTGAGGAAGATGTGAGGAAGATGTGAGGAAGATGTGAGGAAGATGTGAGGAAGATGTGAGGAAGTGAGGAAGATGTGAGGAAGATGTGAGGAAGATGTCAGGAAAGATGTGAGGAAGATGTGAGGAAGATGTGAGGAAGATGTGAGGAAGATGTGAGGAAAGATGTGAGGAAGATGTGAGGAAGATGTGGGGAAGATGTGAGGAAGATGTGAGGAAGATGTGAGGAAGATGTGAGGAAGATGTGAGGAAGATGTGAGGAAGATGTGAGGAAGATGTGAGGAAGATGTGAGGAAAGATGTGAGGAAGATGTGAGGAAGATGTGAGGAAGATGTGAGGAAGATGTGAGGAAGATGTGAGGAAGATGTGAGGAAGATGTGAGGAAGATGTGAGGAAGATGTGAGGAAGATGTGAGGAAGATGTGAGGAAGATGTGAGGAAGATGTGAGGAAGATGTGAGGAAGAGATGTGAGGAAGATGTGAGGAAGATGTGAGGAAGATGTGAGGAAGATGTGAGGAAGATGTGAGGAAGATGTGAGGAAGATGTGAGGAAGATGTGAGGAAGATGTGATGAGGAAAATGTGAGGAAGATGTGAGGAAGATGTGAGAGGAAGATGTGAGGAAAATGTGAGGAAGATGTGAGGAAGATGTGAGGAAGATGTGAGGAAGATGTGAGGAAGATGTGAGGAAGATGTGAGGGAAGATGTGTGAAGAGGAAGATGTGAGGAAGATGTGAGGAAGATGTGAGGAAGATGTGAGGAAGATGTGAGGAAGATGTGAGGAAGATGTGAGGAAGATGTGGGGAAGATGTGAGGAAGATGTGAGGAAGATGTGAGGAAGATGTGAGGAAGATGTGACGAAGATGTGAACATATGAGATGAAGATGTGAACATATGAGATGAAGATGTGAACATATGGAGATGTATAGCAGACCTGGACTATTAGAAGAACCCTTCGCTCAGACGCTCTCGGGAAGAAAGCTCAACTGTTGAATGGGCCAGCTTACAAACGAACTACCATCAATTTGTTCCATTCGATCCTTGCACTATCAGCCCAAAACTTTCGTGCTGTCGGATATCAGAGATGGACGGGCAGAGATCAATGTGGATTTCTAGGACAGATCCCAACTCTCCAACTAGGACACATCCGATACAACACTAGCATAGTCTAGATAGTCTACTTATTTCTCAAATACTGAAACCCAAAGAATTGCCATTTTCAAAAAATGGGAAGCTATCCTAAGTCTGGTGAGTCCGTGTCGTCTTGCAACATCCCCCAGCCTGTCCAAAGATCTGGGGGCCGGCTTTCCTCACCTCCCAGGTTCCAGCCAACATGGAGCTGGGGATCCGTGGTCACCGTTCCAACCTGTGACACCCCTGTGGTTTAAAAGACTTCTGCCACGGTTTTCCATGTCAAGCTTTTGCGATGCTCGTAATTTCCCACTCTAAGTTTGCAGCTTGTGGTGATATTTCGATCAGAGCGGCTTCCAAATAAGGCGAGGGCAGGAAATGAGCATCGCAGCAACTGGCTGATAACCATAGTTCCACCGGAAAAACTAAAGGAGTTGTTTCTTAAAATGCCCACACCACCAAGATTCCTCAATCTTTGGTGAGGAGTGACCTTGGCCCCACCTCGCCCAAGACTCGATCCACGATGCGGCTGACGTCCTGAGACACTTGGGATAAAGTATTTGGGATTAAACCATCAACCATGGAGAAGCCGCGATGTGGTGGCTAAACATCCATGAACAGCAACCACTTTGATCCAAAATATCTATTAAAGTGTGTCCAAACATCAAACGGTTACCCAATGTTACCCATTGTTACCTCAAAAACATCGCCACTTGAGGGTCGACCACCAGCTACAAATTACCCCCACAACCTATTCGGAGAATCGTAAGTTCGCAGGGATATGGAAATCCGTGGGTTTCCCGTTTGGAAAGTGATTGGTAAATCAATGATTCTCGAATTGTCGATGTATAGCAACCCCAAGAAACAATCTGGGGGTTGCTAAAGACCATCCTATCAAAATAGGATTGTGATTATATATATATATATACCTTATGTACCCCATTTATAACAGTTACACCAACCAGTTATTTCATCAATACGCTGGGCGGCTGGGCCCTCCAACGGTTTGCAAGACCACCTTTTCCTCCAGGGTAGCCTCGGTGACCCAAAATGATATCATTTGTCATTCAATCAAGATTCAAGATTGTATATTTAGGCTTGTCCCACCTCTTGGAACTACATACCATGGGGGGGATGGGGTGGGATGTTAACGTTCATGTGAACTTGCAGAAGCAGTTGATTGGGAGAGGTCCTCAAAGCTGTGCGAGACTTGAAGCTCCCGTGACGAGACAAAAACCAGAACTGGTCTCACATGTTTCTGGGAGAGGTCTTCAAACACCGTGTTCATGTTCATACTAATGCTGATGATGATGATGATGATGATGATGATGTCATGATCATGATGATGATGATGATGATGACCCTAATGAAACTTGTCAATTCCGGGACAAAATTTCGTCCCGGAATTGACAAGTTTTACCAACCTAATTCGGGTTGTGAGCAGTTCCAAGAGGTGGGACGAGGCTATATATACATATCATATAAAAATCATATACATATCATATTATAAACATGTGAATATATACGTATATGTATGATAAATGTGTAATCATATATTGTACGTTATGTATATACATAAATGTATATGCATACACATATGTATAATTATGTATATGAACAAATAACGCAAAAATACAGGTTTGAACATACGTCAAAAACCACAAAGCCACAAACGACATAGAACCAGACTCTCCAATGGGGCCACATGATCCTGGTGCCAATCTGAACATGCCCGTTTTTATATTCACAATTAGGACCTATTAAGAAAAGAAAAGGCATGTTCAGATGTTCAATCTATTCTAGGGACCTGTAAATGCCGACCCCAGGCCAACATGCCCAAATGATCCCAAATGTAGGTTGTTGCTGGATGTAATATAACCAACCACAATCCCAATAAAATTTGCTCGGTTCATGTCTCCAACTTTTTAGGTCAACATCCATCCATTTCGATCAACATCCCTTGATTTTGACAGTTCATGACCACGTATTTCGTGGATATGTTCAATTTGGGCATATCCCCAAATATATCCCAAAATCAGCTATATCCCACAATCTCACAAAGAAAATAGCAAACTTCTGGGTTTGTCTCAGAATGGGGCTTCACAAGCGCCTTAAAATGGGAGGAATGATGGTGGTGGTGGTGATGATGATGATGATGAGGAGGAAGGGGATGTGGTTGGACTTCTGGGGTGCCCCATAGTACCGCCATTTTCGAACCGCCTGCGAATCTCAGCTCTCCACCATGCGTTGCAAGCAGCTACGCCAGGTCTCACCGCCACGACCCTCCAGGCGCTCGACGGCAGCCTGGGACGGAACGCACCATGGCTGGAGATCCAGTGCCCAAGATGGGGTACCTATTGGTACCCACAAATGGGTAATTTTTACGTTTTCTTAACCATCCGTGTTGAGGGTCAACATTTTGGCCGATTATCCATCAAGCAGGATAAAGAAGGGTCAAGAAGGATCAAGAAAAACATTTTCCATATGGAAATAATAATCAATCGATCAGAAAGAAAATTACCGTCAAGAAGCATGAAGGCTCATGACTTAATTGGAGGTCAAATGACCATCAAACGATTACCATGAATGAGAAGGGAGATGATCATCAACAGCCATGAAGAGGGAAATGACCATGCACAATACAATGATGACCATAGCCTCTGTACCTTTTGAGGAGGGATCAATAGGTTTTGTGCCTGTTTATGGTACAAGATAAAAGCATTAAACCACCCAGCCAAGGTTTTCACAGTATACGTGGAACATGTCAGGCATCAGTGGACCCACAAACGGCTATCGCCTGCTGCTGGTGATTCAACCTCAGCTGCCGGAGGGGCCATCTGGCCAGTGAGATCTTCAGCCACAAATGGCACGGATCGAAATTCCAACACGGAGCCACAAACACACAAAAAAACGAATCCCAACAGTGCAAGACAATGACTCTTGGGGTGCCAGGTTGAATGTTCCGGCCTATATCAATTGATATCAATCGATGGATTTTCCATGAAATAAACCATCCAGCTATTGGGGTATGCGGTATGCCCCATTTATGGTGGCCCGGGCTCCCGGGCGACTGCTCTAAGGCTCCGATCCGTTCACCCAAACGTTCCTGTGAAACGACTGCCGTCGTGGAAGGAGTGGAACAAGGTCATCCTGACGTATGTGGGATATGATTCGATGGGGATGTACTATGTACATATAAATATATATATACACTATATATTTACATATATATATATTAAATACACATATCTATATATCTACAATATATATATATATATACATATATACATACAGTATGTTGGGAATGTAATGAGGATATAATGAATTGGACAATGAGAATAATTAGAGTGGTTGTCATTTCACACTGGCAAAAGTCAAAACGACAACGGCGCGTGCGTGCACAAAGCCATCCGTCAAACCAATCACCACTTCCATGAGTTTTTGCCACTTCATTTTTGGCGTTGCTTCGTTTGGGTGAAACTCTGTGTGAACAGCTCTGTGGCTTCTGTACCAGCCGCTCACCGATCGTTTGTGGCAAGTTGCCTCTTCAGTCTTCAGCTCAACTTTTCCCAGTTTAATATGCCGCCTTTGTATTTTTATATCATTATCCCTCAAAGCAATAGAAAGTAAAATCGCACAATCACAAAACCAAAGTGCAAAGCTTGCCACAACAAAACATATTATATACGCATCTTACAATGGAGAAGACGCGCATGCGTGGAGCGAAAGAAAGTCACAATATGATAAATGAAACCGCCCAACGCTCACAGTCAGGTCAGAAGGAGCCTCAAGGAGCAAAACTGTTTCAAGAAGCACCATTTAGAAAGAGAAGCATTGCCGCACTGCGCACACGTTGCTCACAAACAAGCCAGCCTCTATGGAATGAGGTATCCATAGCAGTCCGAGTCCAACCTGAATGATTGGTTGACCCCCGCGATTCAACAAGGCGGTTGCAACAAGCAAATAACAATATTGACATGGCTGATTGCAAATCACCAATTGTCTCAGCAAGAAGCCAGCTTCTATGGCACAATGTAGCCATAAGGAGTGTCTTCATCATTATCACAAAGAAATTCACTCATCTTCTCTTCCTTCTTCCACTGACCATCCTGCGGAGAAGAAACGAACTTGAACTAAACACGAACTGCAACTAGCAAAGAAGTTGCTGGCGCAGACAACGGCGCTTCCTGTTGGCTGTAAATATCAATCTCATCTGCATCACACTTCACTTTGTTCGGCTTCTTCTTCTTAATCGCCTAACGCAAAAGCCGCAATTAAACATGTTCTGGTATTTCATTCACTGTCTGCTTTGTCTTCTACTCAACGTTAACGAAGGCACAGCATAGCACATGAAACGTAGAACCATGAGCTCACAGCACATGTTGAAAAGATGGTCGCTCTGCTCAATCTTTGACATTTCTCTTCTGAAAATATTCCCACAAGTTTGAGGTCAGCACTTCTTTCAAATATGCCTGACGACGTTCAAGTTGAGATACACAACATCTTATCCAAATTCAAATCCAGACCAAGCATGCACTAAAAAGCATTCAACAAATACATGTCGGGAATGCGATATTTTGAGGCACTGGGTCGATTGGGAAAGGATTGCCGACGAGCTCAAAGCCACCCTTGTCGTCCTGCAAGGTCAGCAACCAAGACATTCAAATTCAACCTCTTCTAGCCTTGTGCTACTGGCTTGTGCTACTGGCATTTACTTACCAAAGGGCACAGCAAAGGAACAAGGGCATGGCAGAAAACATACAAAGTCTTTCGTCTAAAACCTCTCCATGAATGAAAGTAATATCTTGTAAATATCGCTCAACAAACCCTGAGGAATAAATATGCTAGTGTTTTATGTATAAAACATTTACTTCCCTCAAAAGAACATGGCAAAGGAACAAGCAAAGGGCAGAGAAACAACATCTTGCGTCTAAGTCCTTTCGAAGTTGAATATTGGAAGACATCCAAATAAACAACAATGTAATCCCCCCAACAGTCCTGAAACAAAACGTGACAAGGCAAAGGATGCCAGAAAGAAATCTCTTGATGAAGTTTCGGCTGAACAAACCACTTGTATTTTAACCTAACACTAGTCAGAGGAACTTCGAAGGGAACAATGTAACAATGGCATCAACTGTTGCAGTGGCTCTTGCAAATAACAATGCTTTTAACGCTTGAGGAGAACTGATGGAGCACAACCCTGCCTTTATCAATGGATGACTCAGCGGCTCGTTCAACACTTGCTGTATCACTCAAAAGGTGATATGTTGAGGTGGGAACAGACAAATGGACATGGCACAGGAACAAGGGCATGGCAGAAAATCATACAAAGTCTTTAGTCTAAATCTTCTCTATCAAATTGAGGAAGATTATTGGAACATATCTTTTAGCAAATCCTCAGGAATGAACAACCCTGTTATCTACCCACAAAAAGTCCTGAGCCGTGTCAAGAACATAGAATGACACAGTATTATTTTGCATAGCGGGCTTGCCCACATTTTTGGGCTTGGGAGGAACATTACATAGACACCCTTTCTCGAAACAAGCTCAGCATGTGGAACTGTCGTCAGTCCTTCTGGAGCTGCCTCACCCAAACAGCTTTTGTCGTAGCACTAGTGCCTGCAAGTAGCGTGAAAAAGGATGGCAGTCGCTGGTCCATTTTCAAATGCTCAGATGTTTTGCTAAGATAGGACTGTAGGACAAGAACGACAAACAAAACAAAAACAAACAAAACTGCAAGACTTCACCCAGCGTCTGGTCTGAGCTGTTGGAGATAGATTGACACTCTTCAGCGATTGGACACTGTAGAGCTCAGGCTTGCCGTCGTCCTTGAGCACCAACGTCCTTGCCACGAGGTCGCATTCCACATTGAAGGTGTTGATGATCATGCCCTTGCTCTTCACGTGGACGGTGTAGGCTGTGTGAGCTATGTTAGGGACTAAGCCTATGACTTGCACATCAACCGCTTGAGTCGTGTTCACCGTGTCACGCATCTTCTTGTTGTCATTGCCGATGATGTAGAGACCCTTGTGTTTGGCGTTCTTATAGTTCGTCATGCTATTGAAGCGCTGAAGGTGCTTGGTGATGTTTCCACTGCGTTTCACGCCCTCCAGAACGAACCTCTCCCCACCAATTTCCAGTGCAATGTCTGGATTTCCTTCACCCTTCCGAGATTGCTTTGTGGAAACGGGCTGGTACGTCATATCTTTCAAGGTGGTGCAAATCGCCTCGTTGTACTGCTCCTCACTCGGAAGACCGTCCTTCGCCAACTCAGATGTGTTTGCTTCGAAGCTCACAACCTGGGAGAAGAGCAGGTAGGGCAATGCTCGCATCAATAGGTCTGCACAGTGTTGGGGTTTGCTGGACTCAAAGCGAACTTGCAAACTCTGCCTCTTCTTCAGATTGTGGAAGTAATACGAGGCAAGCAAAGGATTTGCCGCTCGGTATTCTGTGCCCTCAGTCATCCAATCCAACCTTTGGAACTCTCCCTCCTTACAACTGTATTTGGGAACCACGAAACCTTGGATGGTAAGGTCTCTCCGGACATGCTGTGGCAATGTTGTTGAGCCCTTGCACAAAAGCTCTGCAAACTCTCTCGGCACGTTGCTCACGTCTTTGTACAAACCATTGACCCTCACTGCACGGCTCTCGCGCAGGTACCCCAAAATCTCAGTGTTTGCGCAATCCCAATCTCCTCCATCGTAGCTATTCCGCACAAAACCCACTGTCTGCGGGAAAGCCCAGCGGGAAATCCCACTTCTCTGCTTGCTCTGCACAGCGCATTGCTGCAATGAAGATGCCACGATGTCCACCGCAAAATTGTATAAAGAACTTGATGCTCTTCTGGTCCAGCCTAACACCGGCTTCCTTCAGCTGCTCCTGAAGCTCTGACGTGGAGTTCAAGGGAGGTGTCCACATGTATTTCTGGGTAATTTCACCCGGTGTGGACACAATCAGGGTTGATGCAGTGGAAGCATCCCCTGAAGCTGAGAATAGCAGAACCTTTGGTTTATAGGCTGTACTGCTCTTGAAGAGCGCTGAGCATAGCTCTGGTGAAGAGAAGAGGGTGTGAGCCTCGTCATAGACGAGGGTCAGATTGTTCTCCTTCGCTAGCTTCCGGGCGTTCTTAAACTCCGAACCATCTCGATCGATCTTCATTGCAATCGCTTCCTCCACGGCTTCTACCGTGCTCATCTCCCAATCTGTTCCTTTTCCAGAGAAGGGCACGTTGACATACTTCTTGGGAAACTCACGTGCCAAATGTTCTGCCAGTGTTGTCTTGCCTATGGCTACACCACCGCGAATGAAAACGACTTCATCGTCTCCTTCAAACAACTTGTCAATTTTCTTGTCGTAGTCTGTCAGGGAGAGGAAAACATGCTTCTGCGGATCTGCCGAGTCGCTCAGCGGTGGCAGTATCCGACGCTTTTGCGGACTTGCATTGCGGACTTCTGCTTTCAATCTCGTCGGCACTCTTCGGTCAAATCCAATGAGAGGCTGAAATGGATTGCATCCTCCGCCGACAAAGGTCAAATGCTCGTGCACACCGTCAATGAAATGAAAAGCATCGCCAAGACCAGTGCGCAAGTCTTCATCAGCTTGCACAGACCTTGCCGTCTTTGGGCAGGTCGCCTCATGATGGGGGACGCCTAACTGATGAAGTTTCTCTGAGGTTATGTCCCAAACAGTAGCCTAATACATGGCAACACTGCAACACATTGCCTTCACCTCGGTACAAACTATTGCTTGCATGGTGTGGCTGAATGTTGAGGTGATGAACATGTGCTCAAGGGGTTTGAGTGAACAACAGCGCCAATGAAACTCTCAAAGCACGTGCACAGGCTTGGACATCTCCCTACAAACCCGTGACCATAAAATGTGCTTATCAGATAAAAGAACCAGTTATCATAAACATAAACATAAACGAAATGAGGTTCAAAGAAAAAGATATGAGGAAGATGAGGAATATAGAAAAACGAAGCAGGACTACAATAAAACATTTCAATCTAAAATTGTTAGTTGTTCTGTTTGTAATTGTTCAATGACCCAAGCAAATTACTATAAGCATAGGAAAACCGAGAAGCATCAAAGAAACTTAAATAATGGTCAGTAGTTAGGTTTTAATAAAAATGAATGAGGTAATTATGTATTGACTGTTATGATTTTTAGAAAATGAAAGAGGTAATATATGGTTAGTAGTGATGAATTTTGAAAATGAAAGAGGTAGTATGTGGTTAGTAGTGATGTTTTTGAAAAAAATGAAAGAGGTAATTATGGTTTGATATTGTTGAGAAAAATGAAGCAATCAACAATATTTAGACTGACTTTTTAGACTGCTATGTTTTTTCTATGAATAATTTTTGAGTTGTTATACTGCTATGATATTAGTTTAGAAAACTTCTTACAATCAATCTTTTATACATTTTTGGGGGGGCCCGCCCCCCTTATAATTGATATCGAATACACAACGTCGAGAATTCTACGTTTTGCACGGGCTGGCCCCCCAATACCCCCTATGATTGTGCTGAAGCACGGAGAACTCAGGTAGCTGACGCTACCTGTCGTGACATGCACAGCATGTCATTAAACAAGACCAGAGAAAATAGGAAAAATGGTAGCCTCGGGAAGCAAATGCCTTGATCCCATCTGGCTAAATTACCAGGCCAAGTTCAGCAATTGTGGGGATAGGTGACCCATTATAAAGCCTTATTTTATTTTATTCACCCAGCTCCCATGATGTTTTCTGTATATACTAGTATTCTATGATTCATGTTCTAAAATATTGGCTACTTATATATATATATATATGTGAATTTTTATATATAGATCAATATGATTTATAGTCTGATCCCCGTGCCTCCAGCGACTCTTGGTGACGCTGCAAGGCACTCTGTACATCGCGGGCGGTGGGCAGGCGACCTCGCCGTGTCTGGCTGGACGAGTTCACCGAAGAAACATGGGGAGTTCACTAAGACTAAGCCGACTAAGCCAGAAAACATCGGAGTTTGATGGATTTTCTGGCTGTTTTTCACTGTTGAAATCTGTTGAATCCCATTTTTGGAGGAGTAAATTTGAGTAAATGATGCCAATAGTTCTGGGATGGTCCCTATCCTCGCTCCAATCGCGCTGTGAGTCGGTGACTGAGTTCCGTGGTGAAGCGACGCTGTTCACCTCACAACACTACAGAAATGATGGACCATTTCTGACAGGTGGCTCATCTTGGGCTATCTACTTGGGGTGATGGTCATAGCAATCTTAAACAATGTCAATAGGAATCTATAGTACTAGAAAATCATGGAAGTGGAGGAAGTCCACTCCAACTGCTTGGATTATTTTTTTGCTGGAGCTATAGCTGCTTCCTTGTTTGAGATTGGGTCAAAGCCTGTGCAATAGCAATCAACTTGATGGAGTTTACAAACTGGAATTCCAGGGATCTCAAGTCCATCCTGAATCTGTCTTTCTGAATATGCAACTGATCAAACATGTACAACTTGAAAGAACCAGTTGAAAGTGGAATCCCCACCCCACTTCGATAAGGGATTTGTGGTGCAAATAGGACACTGTTTTGATGGCTGGTAGTTGTGGATAATCATCCCCAAACCTATGGGATTGAAGGTTTTGACCTCCCATATGTTCCAGGGTCTAAGCACCTCACATGGGGCATGGTCATCCAACAACTATTAAGGAGTCCTACGTTTGGCTATATAGTATAAAAATCCGCCCGCACCGAAGGTGCCGAGGCTTTTTTGTGTGCCTGCGTGAACCGTTAGCAATTGCATTATAGCTAATAAGCTTTAGCTTGGGGGGGGGCATTTTTGCTCTAGAATCCTGTGTTTTTGCATGTTTTTCAAAAGGGGTCAAAATTTTTGATCTGGGCCAGCCAATATAGGCCAAAAATGGGTCAAGATAGGCCCAACATAGGCCCAACATGAGCCTAAGATAGGCTCACATGGGGCCAACATAGCCTCAAATGGGGCCAGCATACCCTCATGTGGGGCCAAGATAGCCTCATACGGAGCTAAAAAGTGCCCATCCTCCAACATATGTGAGTTATTGCTGATAAATCTAATCAACTGTCATCAATTCGAACGGCTCGGAACATTTCTTTGGCCACCCTTCAGAGCTTCAAGCCACTGGACACCGCACTCAACGACCCCTACATCGGCGTTTCCACCAACGGCACCCTCCTCACTACACCTTAACCAGGTTCATAACCATGGCACGCCCAGCGGTACCGCCAAGTGGCTTTGAAGCTTTGTAACTGTCTGCCTGCAAGTGATAGGAATCAAAATACATGGTTTGTTGCCAATGAGCACAGCTTTGCACTATATACTATATACATCCTATTATTTAGCTCTTAGTCCTAGTCATGACTGAAAATGACAAAGCCATCCAAAAAAATATCAACTCCTCTATGGTCGGAATGAGTTGAGGATTCCGATTTCATTAGCTGCGAATCATGTGGAGGAATTAGCCCCGACAGCGAAATTACACTCTCCAACAAACAAAGCAGCATCAAACCCCTCCCAACGAGCATTGGCTGCTGCGGCCTGAAGTCCATCATGGGTCCCAAGCCTCCTAAGGTATCATCAACCTTCCAAGCACTAGCAATTTGCGTTGGAAAAGTTGGATGGTGGTTTGTCACATCGTGGTCATCGTCATCGTCATCATCATCATCATCATCATCATCATCATCATTTTCATCATCATCATCATCATCATCATCATCATCATCATTTTCATCATCATCACCATCATCAACATCATCATCATCATCATCATTTTCATCATCATCATCATCATCATCATATTCATCATCATCACCATCATCATCATCATCATTTTCATCATCATCATCATTTTCATCATCATCACCATCATCATCATCATCATCATCATCATCATCATCATTTTCATCATCATCATCATCATCATCATCATCATCATTTTCATCATCATCATCATCATCATCGTCATCCTCATCATCATCATCATCATCATTATCATCACCATCATCATCATCATTTTCATCATCATCACCATCATCATCATCATCATCGTCATTTTCATCATCATCATCATCATCATCATCATCATCATCATTTTCATCATCATCATCATCATCATCATCATCATCATCGTCATCCTCATCATCATCATCATCATCACCATCATCATCATCATCATCATCATCATCATCATTTTCATCGTCATCACCATCATCATCATCATCATCATCATCATCATCATCATCATCTTCTTCTTCTTCTTCATCATCTTCTTCATCTTCTTCATCATCGTGTGTTATTCTCGCAGTCATGATGGCTCGCAGCTTGGAACTGTCAAGTCGAGAGTCTGAACATGCAAACTGTCCAGGCAATGTGCCCCTCCAAATGCAAATGGAGTGAAAACTCACCCGTGTCTGCTGCTGTTGCTAGATAGTGATTAGAGCGCTTTGTGACAATATACATGCATAACATAACATCGCATCGCATAAAATAACATCACAACATACTACATGACACAACATAAGATAACATAAGATACAATAGTAACATCTCGCCTGACGGCGACGCGTGACCTCAAGCTTGCTTGCAAGCTTGGCCTGTTCTGTTCACAAATGGTGGCGCCATGACGGGACCGTAGGGTACCTATACTCATCCAAGCCTCAAGAAACATTCCGGTGCATCTGAAAATTGGGTATACCCGGCATACCCCACAAAAGGAACCTTGATGGTGAAAATGATGATTAATCAGTGGATCTGGGGGTATTCCAATTTTACAACAAACCCATTCTTTGTTGAAGCAGAGTTTGGCTCTCTCAGCTGCACTTTGAAGCTCTTTTCAAGTGATTCAGTGGCCTAATCATGCAAAAGAAAAAGAACCTTCATCCTTCAGATCGATAGTTTTGGAAATATCGGCGGATCTAAATTTGCCATCCGCAAAGACAAAATGGTGCGATCACGAAAAAAACAGCCAACATCTGTCGTCTGGGCCTCAAACTTTGATCTTCTCACTATTTGGAAAATGGATGTGGAATATTCTTATTGGTATTACTGCTACTGTTTACTACTATTACTACTATTAAACATTATTCTTGTTACACCATGATCTTCTCAAAATCCCAGGAAATCTGCAGCATTTTGGGGGTGATCCCTCTGCGTCACGGAGCCCTTATCCACCGGAGACCTCCAACTGAGAGAGCCCACGCTGGGAGGTTTCAACCTGGGCGAGTCGAATACCTGGAAAACTTGCGATTTCAGTAACCAAAAATGGGGATTCAAGCAACAAAACTGTTCGATATTTTCCAGCCATTTGGCGAATAGTAGGATAAAGTAAAGGATATCACAATCTCAATATGGGCCAAATTAGTACAATCATTGACAATCATTATGATCTGTGTGGGGCAAAAGGACAAACCACGTATGGAGAATCAAAATGGATCGCCTGAGTTTGGGGAGCAGGAAGTGTCTTGACCTAGGACCACCTGGCGTGACTCCCTATGCTTTTGGTTGTCCACCAAATCCTTCGAACTTGGGACGCGCTTGGGCCGCCAGCGGCCGAACGCAAACTGTATAGTTCCGACCTTGGCTCCAACGAAATGCTGGAGTGGCCGTGTCAATGGCTGTAAGAGAAAGTGCCAAAAAACGCAAACTATTCGAGGTCCGGTTGCCATCGTTCATCAGCTCCTGGCTCCACATCAGTCAAGGGCGCGCGCCAGCTCCCCTCGCCACAGTGTATCCACCACATCAGGAGATAGGCCCCCAACAATTTTGGGAATGGGTCAAAACTGAAGGCCCAAGATGAAACTGCAGGTTTGAAGTCAGTTTCACGGCTAGACCAACCAATTTAGGGGTACCCTGTTTTCACCCATACCCAGTTGTCTTTCTCTTGCCTATTGGATCTTGAGACGACATGCAGTACACATGGGATTGTCTCAAAGTAGTGCAACTCATTTAGGTTGGAATTTTCGGGTACCCTGGTGAACATCAAAATAGTGGGTAAATGCATGCCCATCCCCTGAAAATGCTACGTGCAGGTATTGATCCCTAGCCACACATAATCACATGATAAACTGATAAACAATGTTCAATCAACTCTGATTGGATTGTCAAAGACCGGATTGACCCACCTCATCGATGGTCGCAGACAGCCCGCCATAACCTCCAGGAGAACCTCCAGGTTTGCCAGGGGATAATTTGGTGTTCCTAGTGCGTATTGACTATCAATATGTATACATTATACATACATATGTTAATGATGATCACGATGATCATGATGATGATGATGATGATGTGTGAGTGAGTGAGTGAGTGAGTGAGTGAGTGATTAACTGATTGATCGAATAATGGATGGATTGAATGTATGCATGTATGCATGCATGCATGCATGTATGTATATACGTGTATATATATATGCATGGAGAGAGAGAGAGAGAGAGAGAGACAGAAAGTGTTGTGTAAGTTTTGTTTTGGATGTAAATACATGTACGTGTGTATCTATTTGGTCGTCTGCTGATATTTGTTTACGCATGGATGACGTATTTTGTGTGCAGGTATCAATGCCTCCGTTTGAACGAATTATATTTAAACCAAATA